TATCCATCAGCTATCGCTGCAAAATTAGTGCACAACACATCACCCCCAAAACTCATGGGTTTGCAGGGCAGCTGCATTCCAATGGTCTAGAAAATCACAAGACCAAACCCAACATCAAGGGGAGGGCCCGGGGAGGAGAGTATATTGTCCAGGTTTAGGGAGAGGAACTTCTAAGTCTCCCCTGCTCTGATGCTTGCCCATGGTTATGAGGTTGAGACAACATGCTCATAACCCGAGTGAGGAAATGATTCTCATTTAATCCTCATATTTATGGGCCGTATCTTCAGGTTATATAGATCAAAAGATCCTTAGCTCAGTCATGGTCGAAGAAAACAGTGCTTGGTGTGTCAATTGAGGATAGAAAGAGTGAGCTTCTGACTGTTAGGAAACACATGGGAATGACTCACATCCATTTCAGTGGGCCCTTTCATAGTAAGTTCTTCGCATATAGGGCACTGGGCTGGTGACCCTGTGATGAATCCCTCCTGGGAAGGTTCCGGTTTTCTCCCCTGAGTTACTTGCCATGCTTAGGAAAGAAACCTAATCTAAAATAGAAGTTTAAGTTATAGATTCTCCAGTCAAATCAGGACCTTTCAGAACCATCTCACAAACAGTCCCAGACACACAAGTCTGGAATGGCAACTGATTGTCTGTTGTTTTAAAGAGCTCAAGAGCTTTTAACTAAAAGAAATGGAGGAATAGTACTACCTCATAGGCTCCCATTCAATACTCTCTTTTGATAAAGGAATCTTGGGTTAGAAATCATCTTTCTTGCATCCCACTCACTCTTTGCAGAAAAGATAGACTTGGCCTTAGTTTTCGCTGAGAGCAGAAAATACAGATTCATCTTTAGAGCTCCCTGCCTGAATTGCAGTCCAAATCTGCTGTTTCCTTGGCTTCTGGTTTTGTAATGAAACAGTTTCTTGATAATACAAAAGGGTTCACGTTTTAAGTCTACCTCAGGATGCAGCTATGTGGGGGAAGAAATAGATAGCATGCATCATCCCTTTCTGTTTCTCCAAAGAAACAACAACCATGGGTGTTTTACGTCACGTCTGGAGCGTTTCACAACATATAAAAAGACCCCGCTTTGTGAAAAACGGCAGGGATTAATGTAAAATGGAAACGTTGCGTGCTTCCTTGAAGAATGGCTTCCTTGCGCAGCCCCTTGTTTCTTCTCAGAAACTGTAATTATCGCCACCTGGTGGTCACTTTGTGTTCGTGTTCGGAATAGCCCGAATTGGGCGTTTTAAGATTTGCACAAGGCGATTTACCCAAACATAAATCACCCAGTCCCCCTTGATTTATGTCACTATGGTAGAATATTTTCACTTTCTGAAGCATCAGAGAAGGACCATGGGGCAATTATCTGAAGAATTCAGCTGTCTTCTATAGAAGGAATGATTGCAATCCCCAGTCCTCTCTGTTCTGGCTAGAATTCCGCTTCCCTTCTCCTGCCCGCACACTCTTTTAACCCTTTCCGTCTCCCAGCCTCCCTGGCGCGAGGGTTGTGTAGTGTGTTGGGATGAAGACTTAGTGGTGGTCCTCCAATGAAAGCCAGAGTGACTCGGAAACTATCTTTAAAGTTTCCAAATATATCAGTTTCCAAATATTCAGCTTAAAAAAAGCTGAATATAAATAAAGTTAAGCAACGTTTCCCCAGTCTTCATCTCGGTAAACAGACGTTTAAACGGTGAGCCTTGACTTATTTTTTTTTTCATCAATTAGATACTTAAAATAGACCTTGAAGAGCAAGCTAAAATGAACTAACACGGTGACTCCAAAGTACCCTTCCTGGTGACTAACAAGGCTAAGTGCGCCGAAATAGAAAGACTGATGTTTCTTATCTACTCAACTTGACAGAGAACATTTGGGGGGGCGCCCCTTGGAGGCTGACTAAGGGGCAGTTTCCATGTCTCAAGTTCCTCCCACCCACCGGTCTTTTGGGAGAAAGCAATGGCCCCAAATACATCTGGAGCATCTGTAAACATCCAAGGAGAAGGGCACTGTGACCGGTGTGGGCAGAGGGTCGTGTTCTCCAGTCCCAGCTGGTTGTCCTAAGGGAATGTTGTTCTTGGCAGCCAGGATGGAGCTGCAGGGGCGAAGTCTCGCAAACCCCCACGCCAGGACAGAGCGACCGGAGGGAAAACATAACCCCTTCCTTTTCCATTTCTTCAAAGCGCTAAACCTTAGCTCAAATGCAAACGAAACAGCTGGACAGACACCGCTCCCTTCCGGGCCAGCCTTCACGACCAGTTCCAGTCCCTGGAGAGGATTCTTTTCTCCACCCCCATCACCCCGAGGATCTCCCCCCGCCCAGAGAGAATCAAGATTAAAAGACAAGTGACAGACACAAATAAAAATATGTGTTCTAAACGTGTTAAAGAGCTCAATAACAACCAGAGCTGCCCCCAATACAAATTCTTACCAAGGGAAGACAGGAGTGGGCGAAATACTCCACCTCCCTCAACCAGGCAAAATAAATACAGCAATGACTGCCAAGAGGGAGGAAGGCGGGGGCGAGCCCACCGGGCGGCCAAGCACCGCCAGGCCATGGAAAGGTCGGCGAGCGGGTCCCCACCGCTGGCTCTGTCCTTGGTGCTGAAACAGCGCCGCTGCGCCTCAAACTCGTTACACTGGCGGAACTGGGTGGATTTCCAGGCGTTCAATTCGTTATTTCTCCTCGCTAGGCCCATGAGTGTGAGTTGGAGTGGGACACAACTGGAAATCAAAGTCATGAGTCCCTTTATCTGCTAATCTCCTTGGCTCACTGGAACGTCAACTCCACGAGTACAGGGGTACCATAAGTTAAAGAGACAGTGCAAACTCCAGCAGAGCAATGTCTGGTACACAGTGGGTCTATTCAATTCAAGTGTCCATTCAATAAATTGGCTACTAGTATGTAATTAAACATTTTAAAATTAAGGACAAGAAGACTTCATCCCCCCCCAACACAAAGGAGAAAGAGATGTCCTCCAAGGAGGATGAAGCTAGCTCTAATGTGCGATATCTAATCCTGTAGACAAGTATTTTTCCGAGATTATTTCCTTGGCTAAAACGGCAGAGGTGAGAAGTGTGCTGGATTCTGGAACCAAAGGAGGAAGTGTTTGGAAATGTCGGAATCTCGTGCCACAGGTGAACTAAATGCAACTTCCTTTTCAGGAAATTTCCGGTTTTGGAAGAAGGTCGAGGGAACAGAGAGCATGCCAGCACCGACGTGGGACAGAGGACACCCGGGGGCACTGAGGTCTGGCACCTCCCTCCTCTCGGGTCTCCTTGTCAGTGGTCTTCAGACTTAGTCCCAATATCCAGCTCCCTGATCCGTGCGAGCACCTCTTTAGGGAAGCTTGGAGGAGGAGGGAGCGTGGGTGAAATTCTGAATTTACCTCACTGTAAACTGTGCGTTTCAAGGGGCTCAGTGAGGCTAAAAGTTTGCGGGGACACTTCCTATGCGGTATGGTTACCCCCATCAATACACACGCAGGGCCCAGCCCCTAGTTCCTGTTCCTGGGGTACCCTGTACCCTGTAGTTCAAGATGCTTTTGTATTCTTAAAAAGTGTCCAGGCTTTTACTGTAAGGTGGGAAAAGGGGGACAGCATTTTCTTGAGTACCAAAAGCAACGCCGTGATTTCAGACTTCTGGAGATTCCTCTTACTAATCGGACTATATCTTCCCAGGGAGGAATCTTCAATCTCTCTTACAAAATCTTCCGCGATTTATAAGATTTTTTGGCGTTTCCCACTGCGTCGTGATGAAAAGCGATGATATTCAGAGAGAAAGGACAGGCCTCAGGTAAACCAGCCAGGACGCAGATATGCATGCACGTACATAAACCCTACTGTCTGCAACTCAGCTGGGGAAAATCACTGTGGAAATAAGTAAAGCAATCGTTAATACGCGGTGTCCCCCAGACTCGCAAGAGATCAAGTTTGTTTTGCCCTAAGGTAACTGAAGGAGAAGAAAGGAGGACATAAACTAGAGACAAATGTGGCTGAAGGAAGGCTTGAAGAGACAGGGGGGTTACGGAGCCTGACCAGCCCCGCCAGGTGTTGGCAGGGGAGCCAGACCAACGACCGGCGAGCACCGGGAGTCTCGGTCTCTGGGCGCTTGGCGCCCTCTGGTGGGCGATTTTCCGTCAATGGCTTTTTACAGTAAAGGACTTATCCAACGCAGTCATTCATTAAGTGCGCAGATATTGCAAAGAAAGAATCTTTAAAGGGCGTGAAATCGAAAGGGAATGAGCAGAGGGACTGGGACACCTCCCTTGTGCTGGAGTTCCCCATGCGTGTGGAGCGGCGCTCGTGCGTGTTATTAACCTTCAGACGTGATCCATCAGGAGGAATTTTTTTCCTACCACTGCGGGAGGGAGCGCATAGAGAATGGGAAAGGAGGGGCCCTTTCCCGTTGGTGGCACCAGGTAGCTGTGCTCTGAAGAGGCACTTTGGGGACACTGCGAGCTGCAACAGGAAACTGGAGCGAAGAGATGGAGACCCCTCCTCTCTACCTCCTTTGCCTTTAGTGAGCATTCCTGGCTCACTAGGGAGCCGGCGAGGACGCCACCCAGAGCGATTTTGCTCAACGAAGCGTTGTGTGGTCGCAGATCGGGGGGAATCACGGGGAAAGCAAATGAGGCAAAGCCACTGCTCTAGTCTCCAAACTAGGGGAGGGGGAGGAAAGAAGAGATGCTCAGCCAGGCGGAATTCTTCGTAGGAATTATCTTTTCCCTCCTCTCACCGACAACCTATTTAAAAAAAAAAAAAAAAGAGCGGGCTGAGTATGTTCTGGATTACTCACAGGACCTTTTTTTCCCCCTTTCTAGACGCAAACCCGTGAGCTGGATTTATAATCGCCCTATAAAGCTCCCGAGGCGGCCAGGCACCTGCAAAGGAGCCCCGCCGCTCCGCCGACGAGCTGCCCCCGCGAGCAGCGGCCTCGTGATTCCCCCGCCGAGCGTCCCCGCCTCCCCACCCCGCCCCCTCCCCGGAGCGGGGCGCAGCCTCTCCGGATCTGCTCTTCTCCTCCAGGCGCTCGCGTGCCGGACGGGGGTGGCGAGAGCGAGGAAGCAGCTGGAGGTGACGCCGGGCGGATAAGCCTGTGACAGAGCACAGCGGAGCCGGGAGGATCGCTGGACGCTGCGCAGACGAACGAACGGCTGGAGCGTCCGGCTTGCGGTCACCGAACCGAGGTGAGTACGCGCGCGACCACTTCCCCGCGCCCAGCCGCGGCCGTTCCGCGGGGTCCTCTCAGCCTGCACGCGGCTGCTCTCAGTCTACGCCCGTCACCCACACTCACCTCCTGCAGCCGAGCTGCCCGCCCGCCCGGGTCCGGGCTCTCGGGTGGTGTGCGGCGCAGGGACCCCTGCCCTCCGCGCGCTTCAGAGCCTTGCCGGGAGGACGCCCAGAGGCTGGGGTTCGCGCTGAAGTAGGACTAGAGCATTTTCCCCCTGCGCTGCCTGGCTGTGAGCGCCCGTCTCTCCAGAAGATGCCTGGTAGATGCAGCCGAAGGTTCAACTAAGAGTGATAACCTGTTACTTCCCCAGGAGCAGCGTTCTGCCTCTCCCGCGTTCCTGCGAGAGTGCGCGCGCGGCCAGGCTCGAGGCCCGCCCGAGGGTGTGCAGGCTCTGGCCGGTAGGCTCCCCCTTGACGAGCCTGAGATTTACCGAGATCAGCCCGCACTCTGTCCCGCGGCCTTCGGACGCCATCGCGCCAGCGCCGAGCACCTAGCAGCGGCGCTGCGCACTGACCTTCCTTCGCCACCTCTTGCGCTTTGGGCGCAAGTTCGTTTCCTCGGTGACAGTCTCCTTTCTTACCTCCCCCACTCTCTCCGGTTCTGTACAGCGAATTTACGGGGCTAGGTAGAAGCAAAACACGGAAACTGGGACAGAGCCTCGCCTTGGGCTTCGAGGTGTCTCAAAACCGGGTGGGACAAGCAGCAGAGGAGCGAGATTCTGACCCGCTGCTTTCTGGCTGTCTGGGAGTGCAAGGTGACTCTGGTTTTACCTGGCCAAGTCCGAGGGAGAAGCGTAAAGCTATGAACCTTCTTTTCCTCTCATCTTGTCTCATCGAAGTCCCCGGTCCTAGAGCAGTTAGCCTCCTTCTTTCCAGGGAATTAGCCAGACACAACAACGGGAACCAGACACAGAACCAGACGTGCCCTCCCCGCCCCCCTCCTGCCCGCACGCCGGCTGCCGAGAGCGCAATGGAGCTTATCGCGGCTGGGCTGGGAGATCACGCACTGAGCGCTCCCTTGCGCCGCTAGCCCAGTCTCCCACATCTCTGCGTCCTGCACTGGCCTGGAGCCTCCCTCGTCTCAGAGCTGCACGCTCCAGGTCTCCACCCCCATATGTCGCCAGACTGGAGAGCCGCCCAGGGCTACGTTGCCTGCGCCGGAGTCCCGGAGCTAGGGCGCACGTCCCCCCAAGCGCGCACCGCGACCCAGCCAGCTCGCTGCCCTTCCTCCCCGGTCTCCCTCCCGCGCCGCCCAGACTTCGAGCGGAGCGTCTGCGCCCCCCACTGCCCAGTCGCCACCCGTGCCAGGACCCCGGAAGCCCGCCCCGCACAGCTCTCGCTTCTCTTTGCAGCCTATTCCTGCGCCCGACTGGCCGAGGACCCCGGAGAGCAGAGGCCCCGGGACGACCAGGCTGATGGCGTCTTCGACCCCTTCTTCGTCCGCAACCTCCTCGAACACGGGAGCAGATCCCAATACCACTAACCTGCGCCCCACAAGTAGGTCCTGCCCCAGTTTCCTACCAAAAGGGCTGCGGGGAAGGTGGGGGCGCTGGGGCGTCAGGAGCTGCGCTGGCGGAAAGAGAAAGGGGAAAGCGGAGACAGTGGAGGCTGGGAAACGAATGGGGCCCTGACCCAGGTTCCCGCCAGAGGTCATTTGGCTGTCGGGGACGCTAGGTTACTCCGAGGGGACCGAGGGGCGAAGACCACCAGGGTCCGGGTGGCGGCGATGGTGGGGTTTTCGCGGCAGAGTAGGGGCGTTGTTGTTACTCTGTGCGTGGTTTCTCCGCTTGACGGGACGACAGGGGTCAGAGCCGGGGGCAGTGAGGAGCCGAGAGTCCCAGAGAGAATTGAGTTTTCTGTCTCTGTCTTTCGTTGAGCTAAGATCTGACTTCCTCCTCCTTTCCCTCTGCACTGTGCTCAAAGTCTATAATCAGCGGAAATTTCGACGTTAATTGCAGCTTTTAGAAAACTCGGGGTCTCTAATTGCTCCAAATTTGCGTCGAGCTGTTGACGAGGGAGGGAGAAGCCCGGGGCGGGAAAGGTGCATAAAAAACGGTTTGAGACGGAACCTCGACATTTCATACAGTTAATTACATCTCACAGACAAAAAGACGGCGGGGTGGGGGGATCGGGCACCAGCCTGAGCGGCAAGAGAGAGGGAGCTGGAGAAGGCAGAAAGGCTTGCCGGGGCGGGAGGAGCGAACACCCCTCTTCTCTCTCCCAGCGAGAGACCTGTCAGCAGGTGACAAGTCCCGGAGGGGAGAAAGGGGACCAGATAAAAGGGCGGGGGGGACTTGTGCCTCTTCATCCTTAGCTGTGCTCCCTCTTTGACCGTTTGCAGAATCTGTTTTTAATTCGGACAGATTTTTTTATCTCTCTGTAGGGCTGTGAGGCGGGAATTTTTCTCCCACGTTAGGGACAATTGTCCCCTCAGTCCGTCCCACCCCAAATAAATCCAGATAGTAAACGCCCCAGAATTTCTGTTCAGGAAAGACTTAGGGAGGACAGTGCGGTTAGGAGGAGTGCTTATTGCTGCTCTTTTATGGCCCTGTCGATGAGCTTGACTGAATAATTGTCCTCATCGGAGAAGGCAGGGAGGGGTCACTGAGAAAGCCCCTCTCAGCCCTTGGCCGCCAGCGCCTGGGCAGAAGGCCTCGTCTCCAGTCCTCAGGCCCCATTTAGGTTCCCTATGCGGCTCCCTGGTCACCACCTTGGCGGGCTACAGTTACCACACAACAAAGAGGGGCGCGGGAGAGGAGCCAGCCCTGGTGGCACGTGAGCCGGCGGGCGGCGGAGCCGGCCCGAGCGGGGCGGGAGGAGCGCGAGGCCTGCGCGCCTTTTGTTTGTAGCTTTGGCCTCCGGATAGATTTCTGATTCTCATCCTCCACCACTGCCACCATTTTTTTCTGTCCCGTGAGTCTGGGGGGGATTTGCCCCCACCCCCAAATAGCCCCCGCGCCGCTCTTTCCCGGGGCATCGTCTGAATGCGCGAATGCGCAGCCCCAGGTGCGAGTCCCAGCAGAAGCGATGGCCCGAGTCCACACGGGGCCTGGCACGCCCCAAAGCCATGAGGTGGACGCCAGAGAACCGAGGACCCGCCGGGGAAGAGCAAACGGCGCTGTAATGGAAGTACCCTCCCTCGGCAGTCAGCGGCGGGGTCGGCGCCACAGGGTGCGCGCGCACTACGCTCGCGCTGTCCACGTCGCCCCTCACACCTTGCAAACCCACCCTCGCGCGCCCAGCTGGCTTTATTTCTCTGCCCCTTCAAGGTCTCTCAGGCTCTCTTTCCTTGCTCCGCCTGCACAAATTCACCTTCTTGCTCCAGCAACCCTAGCCGGGGCATGGAGCTTCCCTTGCCCTCAGAAATAACGGCTCCTGCAATAGCAAAGGAGCTTCTCACCTCCCTCTCCCTTTCTCTCAGTGTAGCCCCCAGTATTGCAAGGTAAAGGGTCAGAGCTTCAGGCTCCCGCTGAGTGACCTTGGAGAGCTGGCTTAACCTCTCTGAAGCAGTGTTGTACTTTGTCTGATGAAGTCTTACATCAGCAATCTCCAGTCCGTTTCCCTGGGTAGTTTTAAGGATTGTATGAGATGGTGTTCAAAGTGAAAGCACTCTATTGGGTAGAAATAACGCTTTATGCACCACGTATTATTATTACTAGGGTTTTGCATTCCAGATGATTTCTTGTCCGTCAGTGGACGTCCATCTGTGACATGTCTCGGCGATATCAGGCCGTTTCTTCTCCCCGCGGGGGCTCTGTTGAGCCTCGGGTTTAATGGATGTCTCTCTGCTTATCGCCGCCAACACTCGCGCGCGGCTGGAGGCTCCGCTGGGGTGGGTGGGGGATGGGATATCGGAGGCGCCTTGCTTTGCTTTGAGGGATCTGAAGGGGGTTCACGCTGGGCCGGGCACACCAGCCTGCACGCGGGCTTCAAGGACTCAGGGCTGCCTTTCGCCCTCGGTACTGGAAGTTGCCCGGGCGGGCAGGTAAACCCAGAGGCGCTGGAGCACCGCCTGGTGAAGCAGGAAACCCCGGCAGCCCTCGGTCTGCGGCTCAGACCCAGAGAAAAGCTGCCTGATTCCGTTGCTCCAGACCCGAAATGTCCCCGAGAAGGGTTAATGAGGGTCAGGTTGAGAAGAGGGGCCAGGGATGAGGACGTGAGGTGCACTATTGTCTTCCCGACTCCCCAGTCGGACTGAGGAGCAACCATGCGCGTCCGATCATCTAGTCAAATACTATTTTTCACCCAATTAATTCCTGAACTCTTCCGCGACCCCATTTCATGCCAGTTTATTTTAAGCTGCCACTCGCCTGGAGACCCGCCAAGAAATTAGAAGACGTCTCGGTCCCAGATGCCTCTGTGTTCCCTTTCCATGCTGGTGTGGGCGCCCTTTGAGCCTGCGGGGCCGAGGACGCGGGACCTGGCCTGGGGGCGCTGGGGGGACTTGAGTGGCAGGGTCTGGCCCTTCCCTCGTGGGTTGCGCCTTCTCCCCACCTGGACGGTGTCTGGAGGCGGCAAGCGGGGGCCTTTCAGAGACTCGGAGCTGGGAGCAGGAAAGAGTGTGGCGGGGGCCGAGGGCACGAGGCTGCCTGCAGGCCCATGGACTGGGCTCCCGCGTCCTTTTGGGAAAGAGCTTTAAATGAGGTGCATCCAAGACCTCCCCCTCGCTGGCGAAAACTCTTACCCTCAGGCCAGCTTCGCACGGTCCTGACCTCCCTAACCGCCCCTTGTCTCCTCTCTGTCCCTCTAGCCTATGACACCTGGTGCGGTGTGGCCCACGGATGCACTAGAAAACTGGGGCTGAAGATCTGCGGTAAGTGAAAGGGCCAGATGGGGGCCCGGGGCGCGGCGCGGCGCCTTGAAAGAGGGGAGGTGGCGTTGGGGGCCGGGCCCTTGGGCCTGGTTTTGTAGTGTATAGTGCGGACGCCCAGCAGAGACGCACCTTTCGAGGGCCGGGCGCTCTTGCGCCCGCCTCTGACACGGTTTAAGGACCCTCTCCTGCAGGGTCAAACGGGAACCCAGCGCCCCCAGGCGGCAGCCCCGCGCCGGGCCGCTCGGACCTGTGCACTCCGCCCAGGAGCCCCGAAAAGGTGACCCGCCCTGGCTGTGCAGGAGAGCAGAGCAAGGGCGCGGTACTAAGGCTGTGGCTGAGAAGTACTCCTGCCCTTCAGCGGCGCCCACCCTCACTGTCCACCTTCTCCGGGTCTGGGCGCATTGGAAGCGGCCTCCTCCACCCAAGGGTTTTGCCCGAAATGTCATAAGGGATTTGGATTTCGTTCTTTGGAGCCCGCGAGGCCGTAGGAATGGGTTGCCTGCAGACCTCGGTGGCCTGCCTAGGGGAGGTGCCTGCCGCGCAGGCCAGCGGGTTTGCGGGTCTTTGCCTTAAAGGCCAGGAAGTGAAGGAAAGGGATCGGGCGACGGGAGCGGGCCCGGGGAGCGGGGAGCAGTGGGTTTTCTGGCAGGATCTGCTGAAGAGGAAAAAGAACTGGTCTCTGCTCCCTGGAGACCTGAGGGTCTAAATGAAAACGCCCAAGGCACGTAATTTTTTAAGGGGGGGGAAAAAAAGAGATTTGCTCAAACGGATACAGCTGACGGGCTCCAACTGAACAATGAGGACTGGCTTTCCTTGCTACATTTCACCGTCTAAAATTCTCAGGCCTTATCGGTCTAAAAATTACGGGTGTCCCCGGGCGAGGGGAGGGGAGGCGGGGGAAGATTAACGAGGGGCTTATTAAAGAGCCATCGGTCAGCCGCCGCGCGCTGGAGACGGCGAGGTTGGCCAGCCCCGAGCGCCCCGGGCTCCGCGGGCAGCAGAGTGGGTCACTTAGCGGCTTCGGGGAGCCGCCGACCTCCTCGCTCGGCCGCGCCACGCGCTCCTTGCGCTTCTGCGGCCCTGGCCCCTACATCCTGGGGCCGAGCGTTCAGGGCAAGACTAAAAGCCCCGCCCCGCCCCGCCACGGGGCTGCCAGGGTTCAGCCCCCCCAGCACGCGAGGCAGGCGGGCGAGGACAGGCCGCCGAGCCAGAGCTTTGTTCTCTTAATCGCCCCCTCCCACCCCACCCAACCCCCTTCCGCCGCCATTCGGGCTTAATGGCCCGGTTCCCGCCAGGCCCTTCGGCGGCCAGCGCTCGCCTCCTGCAGCCGTCGTTGTCATGCAGCCGGGCAAGCAGAACCGAACGCTCCGGGACGTCCGCCGCGGCCGAGGAATGGTAGGGGCAGGCTTGGGGTGAAGGCCGCCTTCCCCGGGGTCCTAGGCCACCCCATCACCCCCATCCCGCCTCCCGCTGCTGCCCTCTGCCGCTAGGATGCTAGCGCTCTGGGTCTGCGGGAGGAAAGGACTAAGGCCCCTTCCTGGGGACATATCCGAGGTCCTGAAAGGGTAAAGGGGCAGAACAGAGTTAAGCTTAGCTGGGTCTGGGAATAACGGGCCTTAGTGATGACTGTCCCTTCCGCTGCTGCCAGCCAGTGCCATGAGGAGCGTTCTTGGGCATTTGGGAGCTGCCGTCCTCAGAGTTTGTTCCCTGTTTCTCTCTCCCCTCACACCCCCCCCACCACGTTAATTTGGGGGAGCTGAAACCTAAATGATAGGAGGGAGGAGAGAACAGGGTAATCTGCGGAGGTGAAATTAACTTCTGCTAACCAGCTGTGTGTTTGGGGCCCCTCACCAGAAGGCTTCCCATCCGGTTTCACTGTGGAAGAAAACACATCACCAACAGGATTTATTTCCCTTGCTTTGGGCCATCTCTGGCTTTGCATTTTTTTTTTTTTTTTTTTTTTTTTTTTTGGTTTTTCTCCGGTACCAGGAACCGAACTCACGACCTTGCGCTTGCCAGGCAGGCGCTTTGCCGCTGAGCTAAATCCCCAGCCCCTGGCTTTGCATTTTAATCGGGTGGAAACACAGGGCAGTCTCTAGTTTTGGACCTGGCTCCACGGTACCCTCCCACTCCCATAGGCCACAGTGCCTTCATCCCGGAGGTACATGCACCTTTTAAGGTGAGGTACATCACCTTAAAAGGTACATGCACCTTTTAAGCCTGCCACCATCAAGGTTGAACTGTCACCCTAAGACAGCAGAGGAACGCCCTCCATGTCCAAACACCTGCCCTGGGTCACATCCCTGCCATCCTTAGTGCCTTGTCAAGATTCAGCCCTCACCCAGCCTCTCACCCTCCTTCCCCTTTAAGCCAGAGAATGAAGCCACACGAAAGCCCTAGGTGCCACTAGTGATCCCCTTAGCTCTGAGGCAGAATTCCCCTGAGAGAGTAATCAGAAGAAACTCAGAGATTTTGCCAACAGCCAGAGGGTGGCTGCCGGCATGGTGACATGACCTAAATAGAATAAGTCTTGGATCCCTAAGTTCTGGTCTGGGCTCTGCTAACTCCCCAGTGTGTCCTTGGGTTTCCATCACTTATCTCTGCTGAGTCCCAAACTTTGTGCCTGGTGTAGCCCTGAGCTACTTTACCTAGTCCACGCAGGGTGTTTAATTTTGTATTAGTTGCGAACTTCTAAAAATAGAGAACTCAATATTTCTCCTTTCTCTTGGGAAAAAAAAAAAGTGGAGGGAGATCTGGCAATGTGCTAGCCCATAAACTTCAGAAAAAGCCCCTTCCTCTGAGCAGAAGTGGTTTCATGCCACAGCTTGGTGAGCAGAAAATGTGCAGGGCTTCTACCCCTATGTATCCCACTGGCCATGCATCCTGATGCCATGCACGGCCCTGCACCCCACTTGGAAACACCTAGCCTTAGCCGGGTCCACACAGCTTACTGGGCCCCCCAGCTCTTTGAGCTGGGGAGCAGCGGTGAGGCTCCAGTAGCAGGATCCCCACCCAAGAGGACACTTCTGCCCTTTGCTACAACCTGACCAAGCACTCCTTGACTTTTCTCTTTGCCTTCAGAATGTAGAGCTTTGTGACAGTTACCCATAGGCTGAAACTAGGTCCTTAAAGCTGAGTGCAGAGTAAGAATAAGTTCAGCCTGCCCCAGTCTTGGGGATCCCTGCTCCCAGGACCGCATTGCTAGCTAGGGATATTGTCAAAGCACCAACCTCAAATCACCTTTCACCTTGTTGTCATCCTTGGAGAAGCAGACAGTTCTTTCTAAGGCTTCTTGGACCAAAAGAGGCCTGGGTTGTTTATCTTTTTTGAGGATCCCAATATTTTAGGAAACTGACACCTTCCTAAACAAAGTGAAAAGAAGGGCAGTCTGCACGAAAAATTTACATTAGCACAAATTATAATGCAATGTAAGAGAAAATTGTGATTTCTCATGCACTACAGGAAATGTGGTCCTGGAATGGGGAGTGGGTTTACAGTTGTGTCATCATTGTCATTTCTCAACCCCATCAGGACCTCTCCAGGCAAGCTTGTGTGAAAACCTCCTTTGGAGGCAACAGCCAAAGCCTTATGGTCTCTAAATGGGTTTCAAGGCCAGAAAGACTTAAGATTTTTCCCAGGAAGGGTCAGATGCCCAACCAGGTCTGAGATTGCAGAGTGGAGATTCAGCTGAGCAGGACTTCACCCCCACTGGGCCACACAGATTTGGTCTTTCTGGCCTGGCACATTGCACAGTCTCTGTTCTGAAGCAAGAGGAACCAGGTGATCCTGCCTCCCTCTGGCAAATGAGTGCTGGCTCCTGGTTCTAGATGCTGGGGATTTGAAGGAAGAAGAAAATAGAAGGGAGAGAAAGGATGCACTCCAATCTTCATATTCAAGTACGCAGCTCTATTACAGTGTATCTCCCTCTTTCCATGTTCTTTGGGGCTTTCGTGATAAGTTTAAAAGGTGCTGGGAACAGCAAGAGGCTTGTGCTTTTGTCTTCCTATTCTTCCCTCCAAAAATAGACCCTGGCTCCTGTGTGGGAGGATTCTAATCACCACAGCCTTCTTCTTGCATCCCTCTTCCACTCATCGCCATTGAATTCACAGATTAACTTTTCTCTGCCCCTCCTGGGACTTTCTTCCAAGCCTGTCTTGTGACGTCTGTGATTCCCCAAGGATCTTGGTATCTACAAAGACAGCTTTGCGGTCATCAAGAAGCTTAGCACTTTCTTCCTCTTCTCTGTGTGTTGCATATGGGCTAAGGCTAAGACAGTGCTGGAGGAGGAGACACCAGGGAAAGAGTGGGTTTGCAGGCCGGGGACCCTGGAGGGGAGGAGGGTGTGCTCCAAGTTGGCGCATTCTCCGGCCCTTGGGCTCAACCCTGCTTCCCTTTTACTGCTGGTGTTGCTTGCACTGCTCATTGGGAGTGCGAGAGATTCTGCTCCCTCTAGGCAGTGGTGGCAAGCCTATGGCATGAGTGCAGTGGGCATGCAGGGCCCTGTCTGTGGGCATGCCAGTCAAGTTCCCCTAGCAGCCAGGCATCAGATATTCAGGTTTAATCACAGTGTTGACACTTAGTGATAAATAAGTGGGTTTTGGGTTACAGTTTGGACACGCAGTCTCTAAAAGGTTCACCATCACTGCAAGGAAGAGATGAGGTGCTGGTAACTCCACCCTAGACTCACAGTTTGCTTAGTTTCTACCCATCTCCACCACCACCACCAGGGCAAGCACTCTATCACTCAGCTGCATCCCCATCCTGATGTTTTATTACAGCACTGGGCGCCATCAGCTAGACTATAAGCTCCTGGAGGGTAGCAGGTCTGTCTCACTTTTCTTTATCTGTCTCCATCCCAAGTGCATATAGCAAACTGCTTTTTCACAACAAATGATCAATAAATATGTGTAGAATTAAATGCCAAGGCCCGTAAGATCTTAAGCTTTCTTGTCTTTTTCCCTAATGCCTTTATTAATATAGAGGGGGCAGCACAGCACTCTTGCATTGCAAGACTGGGTCAGAACAATTACACTTCGGTTCAAGCGCTGAGGGTTGCCTGGTGCCAGAGAGAAGCATCTTCTCTAACCCACAGGACCTCCTCCCTCTTCCCTCTGTTGTCTTCTTCCTTCCTCCTGCTGGTGGTCCTCGCCCTCCTCCCTCTTTTATCCCCCTTCCCTCCCCTGCTAGTCCTTTCCCTCCTGCCTCCACTGGCCTCCCCCTCCTCCCTCTGACTGCATAGCCAATAAGCCCCGTGGTGGCAGCATCTTCTCTGATTGGGTTCCTTTCTTCAAAACCCCATCCTCAGGCTGGTTACTGGAGTGGAAGCTGTCCAGTTGACTTAATTCTGAGTTCACTGTCATGTTCAGAGTGGAGACTGAGCCTCGCTTACATTTTTCCATCTTGCATGACTGGGTCTGTGCCAGTGATGGCACTTGGCATTGCCCCTTCCCCGCCTGTAGGGGAGCAGTGCCAGAGCCACTCTATAAAAAACAGCTCCTCGCTCAGCTTCTCAGCAGGAGCAAAAGCCCAGCTTGGACCTGGTCCAGCAGTTGGTCCTGGGTGGCTGGGTGGTCCCCAGCCCCTGACCCACCTTCTTGTGCCTTAGGCTTCTTGCAGAGGACCAACAGCCTGGAAGAAAAGAGCCGGCTTGTGAGTGCCTTCAAAGAGAGACAGTCTTCCAAGAATCTGCTTTCCTGTGAAAACAGCGACCGCGATACCCACTTCCGGCGCACGGAGACGGACTTCTCTAACCTGTTTGCTCGAGGTGGTACCACCCCCAGCCCCTGGCCCTACTGCTAGTCAGTGGGTTCCTTATTTGAGTGTCTTGACATTTTCCTGAAATTTTTTTAAAACCAAGAAATGTCATTACTCTCTGTGAACTTTCATGAAATTGCTCTCTTGACATCGGAAAATAACATTCCCTCCTTCCTACTTTCAGGTCTCCATCATTTTGGAAAGTAGATGAAATAAATCAATGAAGCACCCTCTAAAGACACTCGTAGGGACAAGCAAGGATTCAGAGTGATTCAGAATCCAAAGAAAATCTAGTTATTTCCTTAATATTTATCCTCCAAGATCACTATATCCCCCCCAATAAATCATACTGTGGGAAGCTGTACAGCTGATCCTCACATAACCAAGGACAGTCCTGAAACTCTTTCTCCCTCTGGAGATCTTTTGCGAGTTCCTGCTGCCTGAACAATGCTGGTCTCAAAAGGTGTTTACCAGTCTCTCCTGAGCAGCTCAAAGGCAGGCCCACCTCTGTCCCATTGGGTTATCTCCCCAGAAAGCCACAGAAGCCAGAAAAGGACACTGAACAAGACTCCATTAAAACCTCCAAGATGATCTGAGAGTGACACAGAGTTCCACATTCAGTCAGACAACCTGCTTTTGAGCGCTGGCTGTCAACTTCCATTAGAATCCCCCACAACTTACATCCTTGAGTAGCTCCCCCACCCACCACCCCACGCCCCTCCACCTAACTTTGTGTTGCAGAGCCTAGCGCCCCAAATCAATATCAGATATCTCAAATCCAGGTGCTAAACAGTGAGGTCACATGACAGGCCAGGGGTGCCCCTGAGCCTCCCTTCCCATTCTCATCCACTTCTGCTTTGCTATCTAAGGACACCATGAAGAACCACCCTCTTTAGGAGAGACCTCAGGCTCTACCAGAAGCTTTACCCTCTGCCATCAACAGATAAAGCATATCATTAACCCAAATCAGATGTACAGGGGCACTTGGTTCCAGAACAGCCTGATGGAAGTGCCTTCTGTCACATTCCTCCAAGGATCCAGTCAGCCCGCCACAGACAACTGCAGTAGCAGGTTGTCATGGCTCTACAGAGCAGTCAATTCCATGTATGACCACACTGACTGTCTGAAAGTATGTGAACCCCCAGAAACCATATGTGAAACATCTCTGAATGTGCATACAAGGTGCAATTGAAATGTGCAGTGTTTACATTTTTTAATGTATTATAGTAAAATTCACATTGTCGTAAATCTCCCTTTATATACCTCCCCCTTACTTTGAACACATGTATCATTCTTGATACTTTCTGAAGCAGTTCTGGAGCTCCTCTTTCCTGTCTTTATGAGATTAAAACATACAACGAGTGCCACTGATTATCACCAACAGCCACGCTGTTGTCGAAGGTTGTTATCCACTGGAAAGGTGAGCTCCTAAAAACGTTACTCTCATCCATATTATCACCTGGATCTGGCACCCTGCAGTTTCTGGCTCTTCCTCAAAGTCAGAATGGCTATGGAAGGTAAACATTTTGAACCAATTCAGGACATCTAGGCAGCTGCAACAGAGCAACTAGAGACACTCATGAAAGAGGACTTCAAGAAATGCTTCAGGAAGGGACAAGAACAATGGGACAAATGTGTTTGACAAGAGGGAGTATTTTGAGGGGGATTAATGGCATTCTGTCTTTTACTCTATATTTTTTAATTTACACACTTACCATATCTTTTGTCTTTGTATGTGCATTTTTCTGGGGTCATGGTACACTAGACTGACAGTGCACATACATGTCCTGGGGTATGATTAGGCCTGTCCGGATATCATGACTGATAACTCTGGGTATGAGGCAGGTGATAACTATTCATTGGCTTTCTCCCCTCAGATCTGCTTCCAGCTAAGAATGGGGAGGAGCAAACTGTGCAGTTCCTACTGGAAGTGGTGGACATACTCCTCAATTACATCCGCAAGACGTTTGATCGCTCCACCAAGGTGCTGGATTTCCACCACCCACACCAGTTGCTGGAAGGCATGGAGGGTTTTAACTTGGAGCTCTCTGACCACCCCGAGTCCCTGGAGCAGATTCTGGTTGACTGCAGAGACACCTTGAAGTACGGGGTGCGGACAGGTAAGGGTGAGTCAGGAGGACGTGCAGACGCGGCCTCACCCTCATCTCACACTGGCCAGCTGTGAGGCTGGCAGACTGACACTGGAGGAGAAATACAGCCTGGGGAAGGGAGGCAGCAAAATGCTCAGGGATCACAGCAACCCTCTTGCCTCAGCTTCCCGAGTGCTGGGATCACAGGCGTGCACCACCTTGCCTGGCCACTTCCCTACTTCTTTTCCCCACTCCATTTCCCCATTTTCATGCCTGTTTCACCTACCTGATCTTGCCTGTCACTGACTCTGTGAAGAATTAGGCCCACTTCCCTTCCTCTCCGTAGTAGTTTCCTAGGCCTGTCATTACAAGTTATCACCATCTGAGTGACTTGAAACAATAGAAACTTGTTTTCTCACAGTTCTTGGGGACAGAAGTTCAGAATCAAGGTGCTGGCTGAGCCACGCTGTTGTCGAAGGTTGTTGGAGAGAATCCATTCTTGCTTCCTCCAGCCTCTGTTGGTTGTGGGCACTCTTTGGCTTGTAGACGTGTTACTCTGTCTCTGCCTTCACTTTCACATGGCCTTCTCCCTGTGCGTGTGTGTCCCAGTGTTCCTCTTCTTAAAAGGACACCAGTCTTCGGAAAAGGGCACTCCTTAATCCAGCGTGACCTCATCTTAAGTTGATTGCATTGGCAAAGACCTTATTTCCAAGGAAGGTCACATTTACAGGAACAAGGGATTAGGACTTGAACGTATCATTTTGAGGGTTACAGTTCAACCCATAACATCTCCTTTTTGGCTGTCTGTCTATCACACACACACACACACACACACACACACACACACACACACCCATCAGATTTTATTCCAACTTCTAGAGTTTGGACGCTCTGAGTCACCAAATCTATTTCCAACTGGGAGATCCTGAGGTTGTCCTCTTGCCTCCCTTTGCAGGAGTTGTTGCATGAGTCCTCTCTAATCAGCAGTCCTGGCCAAAGCGGTTACATTCCAAGGGCTCCAAGCTCAAGCACTTTTGTGGCCTCTGTCTGAGCTATTTCTTAGCACAGGAGTGAAGCAGGGGTTTCTTCTCCCTGTAACTCTTCCTCCACACGCAGCTGGCTTTCCTGAGCTCTTGGATAAACAGGTCTTCAGGAAGTGGCAATCCTTGACATAGTCACCACCACAGGGGGAACCCTAAGGCCGCATGACCGGCAGTCTCTTGTTCTTTTTACTTCTTTCTCTCTCCTCCTTTAGTTCCCCTCTCGTTTATTTTCTTACTCATGAGAAGACAGATTGAAGCTCAAAACCGGTGGAGATTAAGCTGATTAAGGCTGCTGTATGTCAAAAACAAATTGTTTTAATGAGATAATGAGGCTTGTCAAAGAAGCTTTTTAAAATAAGTAATCCCAAATAGCTTTAGAGGTCTGTCAACACCACCAGAGTAAGTGTAGCTTTGTTAAATAACAGCTGGATGGACCAGACTGTTGTATGTACTAAGTCTATCTGTTTTGATTATTTGGGTTTTTTTCTGTTTCTATTTTTCTGGGTGTTTTTTTGTTGTTCTTTTGTTTGTTTGTTTGTTTGTTTTTTTTGAGATAGGGTCTCACTATATAGTCCAGACTGACCTTGAGCATTTTTTAGTCCAGTGTCTATTTGCTCTACATATACTTTCTCAAAGAGATGGAGGCCATATGTTTTTATCACTAAAGCTCAGAATGATGGTATCCCTCAAAGAAAAATGCATGATTTTGTTATAATAGCGTCTCCTATCATCTCCAAACAGAAGCATTTCATCGTCAGAGAAGGCATGTCATAATTTCAGTGTATGAACCCACTTAGGTATTTATTCTGTAGCCATCCATTTCTATTATTTAGAGCAGTTATGGGAGCAGATATTTGTACTTACCCAGGGTTCATAATCTTCCAAGGAACATTTCTGCTGCAGGTCAGGTGTTGGCCCTGATTACATTAGACAGTTGCTGCTACATCAAAACGAAGCTCCTGGTTGATGTTTTATAATTTGAATATAGATACAAGAACAATAGGATAACCCCTTCAGGTGGCTACACACAGTGGAAATTTTTTTAAAACACTGATAAATTGGGTGTAGTGGTACATGCTGGTAATCCCAATGCTGAGGGAAGCTGAGGCAGGATTGCAAGTTTGAGTCCTGCCTAGGCAATTTAGCAAGACCTTGTCTCAAAATAAAAAGGGCTGCAGCTCATTGATAATTCCTCCTGGTTTTTATCTCCAATACTTTGAATATACATATAATAATGAATTGATTTTTAATGGTAACAACATACTAATCTGGATATAATCTGTGAACCAATGATGAAGGCATTTGGAAATTCATAAACAAATTAACAAAAGACTTCTTTTCAAAAAAGAATGAGCATGCAACTTTTCTCTAAACTGACACAGACAGTAGTCAGCCTTCAGAATCAGTGGCTATTTGGGTGACTTCTAGATATGCTGAATTTCCTTAGTTGTTCTTTAACTTATTATGGAAATTTTTTAATTTATGCAAAAATAGGGTTGTATCATGAAGCTCATGTACCACAAACACCTCTCTTCAACTATCGTGAATTCCAGTCAACTTTGTTTCACATATATCTCCACCCACTCTTCCTGTTCTCTATCAGATGGAAGCAAATCCCCCATCGAATAGCATTGCACCCATAGATGTTCTTCATCCTCAAGAACTCTTAAAAAAACACAATATCACTGTCATATATGCAAAATCATAAAATGTATAGTTTCTTGATGTTCAGTATTCAAATTTCCAATTGCTTCATACATGTCATAAACATTTTGCTTTATTTTAATTCATTTGAATCAGGATTCAGGTAAGTCCCTGACTTTGCAGCCGGTTGATAGATCTTTCTAGACAACAGATTTCCTCCTCCGTCTCTTCTTCCCCCTTGCCACTTACATGTTGAAATTATTTACTTAAAAAGACAACGCTTTCTTTCTCCCCCTACTTGACACTGAGCCATTTGATGCTTAGTGTCCGATTTTTATTGGATATAAAGACTTGAAATTGAAATCTAAACCAGGATGTTTTGTTAGCTGATAGAAATCCTAGTAGAAGAATTTTGGGGACATAAGTTGTAGCCATTTGGTAAAAGTAAGGTTTGGGGGGAATCTGTGTGCTTTGTATTTTAATGGAGGAAAGAGAGACAATTTCACTTTCTGTCAGAATTTCTTTTTCCATCTTTTACCTCTCAAATAAAGTGCGATTGCTTTTATTTGTGATTCAGTCCTGTCTTAAAAGAAACATTTGCCATTAAAAACTTTTCAAATGGGTATTGCATATATTTTAATGAATTGCCACAAAGTTCTTTATGCTGATGATCTCATAGGTTGTTGGCACTGAGAAAAGTTGAGTAAAATGAAATAATTTAAGCTATTTAAACTAGTCTACATGAACATCTGGAATCTGGCTCAATGTGGACACTGTTTACTATTTTTGATTTTCATTGTTTTTCTAAAAATTAGTATTATTTATTGGAAATTCTTGATATTGAACGACTGGCATATCCTGGTATAAAAAAAAAAATCATAGTCCAGATGTTCTGAATGAGAACTCCTCTGATTTAGTGAGGCATGGACATTCTCAGGGAAGAGATTTAGACTAGGAGCATTCTAACACTATCCTTCTCACAGTTATTTCAGAGGCAAAGGCAATTTCCTCTGGAAACATAGTAGTCAGCAAATCTTTTGCACACAAGTTCTCTGTCACACATCCCTAGATAATCTATTGTGTTGACTCCTTCATGACAGCTGAGCTGAGCCTGCGGATGTGGAGTTGAGTTTTTCAGTGAATGCCAAGTTGGCAAAAACGTGGCAACAGGCCTGAGTTTGCTGAGGACAAAATCTGTTAGAGCACACTATGGGTTGCACAGGACTTTAAAGTAGCAGAGCAATAACAATTATTGCACCAGCCATGCAATGAATAATTGAAGACTGTCTTCCCATTTCGCAGAGGATATGTGAGGTCAGCCGACCAATCAAGTTGGTTTAATGGGGCACCTAACTGTAGACCAGAAAACACACCAAAGCTTGACATCATGTTTGTCACAGAGACCCAGAGAGTGATGGAATGGCCTCAGCATCAGAATCAGAATCAAGTTCTTTCCCTAAATTTAATTTGGTCCATAGAGCTAAGAACTCTCTCTAACCCTACAGCATCTTCTCCATCAGCAGTGCTTGATTTTGGAATTAAAACCCTTGGGACATTGAGTTAAAAATTAAAACACTTATGAAAAAAATCAGGACACCACATTCTCTTTTGTAATTAAAAAATAAATGTCACAGAAGAGTTCATCTGGAAGTCAACAGATAAAATATTGGAAAGCTTGATTAGTTTCATGATACTCAATTTTTTAAAACTCAAAAACATGGTGGTTTAGAAACAGGGGTTTGTGGGGTATCATTAGAGTTAGTGGTTGGTATAGGAAGGGTCGACCTGCCCTTTCTTTTCCAGTATTCCTGGGTAGCTCTGTTAGACCACTGGGATGGAGACCTCATCAGTGTGATCTGGGAAGACAAGGCACTTGCTCTAAAGATAGCCTGAAAACCCAGGTTAACCTTGATGCTTGCCTGTTACCTCTCTAGGTCACCCTCGATTTTTCAACCAGCTTTCCACCGGACTAGATATCATTGGCTTAGCTGGAGAATGGCTGACATCAACTGCCAATACCAATATGTAAGTCTCGTATTCTTTTTGCATCAGCAAGCATGATGTATGACTGTGGCTTGTTGCTTTAAAAGTAATTCTAACTCTCCTGTTTTATTAAAGTTGCTTTTATCATTTTTTCTCTTAAAATCTAATTTTCTCACAGTTCTGTTCATAGTAGATACTTTATAAACTGTTTTGGGGATTGAATACTACAACTTAGTAAGAGTATGCTCATGAGAAAATAACTCTAGCTTTCAAAATTTAGTGTGAAATTTCATGTTAATAGATTCTATTTCTTTCACAGAAATATCTAGAAAGGTCACATTTGGGGTATGTTCTTAGTTTCTTTTCTCATCTAAGCACATTTACCCTCATCATAGCTCATATTTTCTCCAAAATTAGAGCTTCCATAAATCCACAAGTCAATTCTATCAACTTATTGCATAACTATAAAATTATAAAACAATGTTCAGCTGGTGCTGATATATTATACAGTCCTTTCAAAGTAGCTAATTATTTTTGCTGAATTTAACATTTTCACCTGTACTTATTTATGTAGACAAAGCCTTCATTTATTTCTAAATTCTTATAACTTACATAAAACTGACTCTAAGGTCCTGGGGTACAAGTACTGCCTACATAGCCTTCTTGCAGTCACCCCAATGCATCCTCTGCCACAAGTGCCCTCCCAGGACGGGTTACAGGATGACGGAGGGTCATCACAGACTAGTGACTACTGTCTTTTCTCTCTGCTCTAATGGCAATGCTGCACCAGGATCTTTCTCTACAGACCCAGTCAGTGATACCACATTTGACACCATAATATCCAGGGGGAAATAATGAAACAAATTTCTTACAAGAATTTCTTATAATCACTTTTTAAAGATCACGGTTCAGTAGATTCTGAAAAATGAATTTAGGTGAAAGAGTGGTATTGTTTAAAATGAGAAATTCCATGTGACGTCAAGACAGAATACAAGTTATTAAAGTTCAAGGTATTCTATTTTTCTTTGATAAACTATGACCAACCTTGAAGCCAAAAGGACATTTCAAGATTGAATATTATCTATACCTGTCCCAAAGGTGTCTTATGCTGTGCCTCAAAATACTAAAACTACAGTTCAGAAAAAGTTTTTAATAATTAAGGATTCTTGCATTATTTGTTAACTTAAAAGAAAGCTGACAAAACTTGAAAAGTAAATGTGACAAGTGAAGCCTTTAGGGCTAAAAGGCATAGAAAATTCAATTGATTAAAAAATGAAAACAATTTTCCTGCTCTTTGCTCACAGCCATGGGTAACTTCACAGATGTCCACATTGGATCCCTGAGATGTCAAAGGGCTGAGAGAAATTCAGGTCAAAGATACAATCAGTTGATAATCTCCTCAAACAGAAAGCTCGCATTTGCAATCTTTGTTGTACTATGATTTGTGGGATTAAAAATACATACATCAGCAAGCACAAACACCATAATATCCTAACTATAACTTCAAAAAAGATACTAATACCTCACTGTTCTGTCTACTAACACTAAGGAACAATTTAAATTAGAAAATACAGTTTCCTTGTTTGTTTGGACTCAATAATTTATAAAATAAGTGAGAAAAGCAGAGTAAAAAGTATATATTCATTAAGGCTCAAGGACACATAATAACACAGGCACTGATTTTCCCAAACATCTTTAAATGTGTATTCTGCAGACTTCTCGGCTGTAACTTCCTATTACATAAAGCCGATCTCAAGGTAAATAAAAGGAACTCACCCCTTTGAAGCATTTATAAAAATTTTAATAATCCACAGATTCTCCATTTTTTGTCTGCGTTCATAATATCAGTCCTTTTACCTCAGCTCAGCCATGAAACACTAAAATGTGCCTCAGCCATCTGAGGTCAAGGCCAGTCCAACCAAATGACACATCGTAATTGCCACTGTACTGAACAGTAGGTATTTATAAAATATGATCCGATTCCAACAGATCAATAGAGAAGGTTATTTAAAATAGTGAAATAGTTTCTGTCAGTGCTGGAGACAAGGTATTGTCTGAAGAAGTAATAACTATTCTCTAGAAATTGTTCAAAGCCAGTTTGCCTGGAAGATCATGAAATGTAGCAGCATTGTAAGAGCCTAGGCAGCATTCACTCCCTTATGAAAATTCCTTCAACAGGGAGCAGCATCTATGTCTAGAAAAGAATGGCAAAAGGATCTTTCTCCAACAGAATGTGATTAAGTTAGTGATATGCACTTAGTTATTGTTTGTCTTTTAACCTGCACTCATTGTGTTTAGGGGGCAGTGGTAATAGAGAATAATTACTATATTCCTCTGAATAGCATTTTTAAAAGAACTACCCAAAGTCCTCATTCAAGTGGCAAAGTGTAAGTGTCTGACTGTTAGTAAACAAAGAACATTTATGTTCATGCTTTTACACCTCCTTGTGCACGGAGCTCTGAGGTCTGTGCTTCTAAGCAAGGACCCAATAAATATCCAGAGAAAACTTTGCAAATGTGTAATTGTCCTTGGCATCTACAGCTCTTTTCTTCCAAAACCTCCAAGAACAACTGTGCAGGGCGAACAGCTCAAGTGTAAACAGCAGCCTGCCCTCAAACACCTGATTGCAATACATAATCTTAATGGCAGGCTCATTCGCAGCCCGTTGCCATGAGGTTATGATTTGAAGCATCTAGCGCTTTATTTTCATAGAAGTTACACAGGAGAAATTTTCTATGGAAGCTATCAGTCACCATTACTACTGAGCAGGCTGTTAGAGGGGAGCAGTTTTCATCTGTCATAGGAAAGCAGTTGTGACGTAAAAGACTTACAACTCTGGCTCTGAAACATACTAACTCTGAGATCTTAACGCAAAGCACAGAATTTCTCTGAACCTCAGTTTCTTCATCAGAAACATGGGGGGGCGGCAATATTCATCCTACAGAGTGGTCCTGAAGGCTGGAAAAGGCTGCAGCCATAAGTGCCTAAGTGTAGACAAGGCACCGTACACACACCTAGGAGAGGCAGCCACCCCACGGTCACTGTTGTCATTGAGGACTCCGTCCCTTCAGCCTTTTGCCTTTTTGCTTCTGTCTCTCCTCATCTCTGGACAACAGAGCTTCTCTAAGCTCCTCTGCCCAAGTGTATCATCTTTTAAGATGAAGATGTCTTCCTCGCCACATCTGTGAGGAGAGGAAGTCTAGGAGGACTGTCAAGATAGAAAGTCAACATGAAAGAGTATTTCTTTCTCTAATTAAAGAAGTCCTCAGTTTAACAGTCACCAGCACACAGGTTCTGTGTGCCTTTGTGATTCAGATTGTGGTATGTGGCTGTCATCCACAAAGTTATCTCATGGTGAATTCTGACTGCTGGAGCGCTAGCCGTTTCTGTGCTTTAGAACTCAGGAAGGAAAAAGTGAAGAAGTGAAGGACTGGAGGGGAAGGAAGGAAGGGAGGTGGAGGGAAAGAGGCAAGAAGGAACAAGGGAGGAAGGAAAGCGGGGAGGAAGGAAAGAGGGGAGGAAGGAAGGGGGGATGGAGGGCATGTAAAATGGGGAGCATACTCCCTACTGTAAGATCTCAGAAGTTACATACAACTTCCCATAGCAATTATTTGCCCAAAATTTAGCCCCATGGCCACAGCTAAGAAGGCTAGAAAAAATAGTCTTTGATCTGGGTAAACTGCATCCCTAAATTTAATAAATTTAATAAAGCCAGAGAAAACTGATATGGTTAGCAACCAGCAGATCTGCCACAGGGAGCTACAGTGTCCTGACACTTTACCTTAGTTCTGAGTAAATCCCATTGGGAAGGTGAGTTGGAACACAGAAAAGGGCCGATCACCTCATTACTCAATTTAGAAAGGTTCAGACCTATTCTTTAGCATCATTCCAGGAATATCACCATCTTACTGTTTAAATCCTTCAAATCTTATGTTCTTATGCTGTAACCCAAAGCTTTTGCCGATTTAGTGTCTTGTTCTCTGATTCTGAAATGTAATCTTGTACCTTGGCTTTCACATCTGAATCCGCGTTTGACCTTTGGCTTCTTCTGAATCTACATTTGACCCTTCATCTCTTGATTTCATCTGCTTTTATCTGTCATTTAGAGGAGTACCTAACCTGGGATCCAGGTAGTAAAAAAAGTTTCCTTTTATTGTACATAAAATAATGTGTATATCCTAATCTTTCACCTGGGAATAGCAACCATAGCTTTCCTAGGATTCTCAAAGTGGTCTGTGACACCAACTGAATCAAGAACCACTGCTTCAAGGCCTTCTAGAAGGCTTTGGGTGGAGGCACACACCCAACTCCAGTAATAAATATGGCCTAGCCTGGGAAGGCAGGGTGAGAAAGAGTATCAGGAACAGGGAAAAACCATGTTGGCCTGTTTGTCAGCCCTAGCTGTGGGTAAACAACCATGGACAAATCTTCTAGCTTCTAGGAGAGGCACAATATCAGGATTTAGTTCACAGGATAAGGTTGTTGTTTGCTGTGGAATAAATGGTCCTTCAGACATAGGTAGAGACTGTCAGAATGCAGCTGAGATCAACTATGAGATGTTAGAGCCATCCTAGTAAGCTATCTCAAGGTTGGGAACAGTGTCTTATAACATTTTTGTCTCCTCCATACACAGGATGTTGCCTGGCAGAGAACAGTCATTCAATAAGTATTTGTTGAACAGAACTAAAGGAAAGGATGGGGCTGGGGATTTAGCTCAGCGGCAAAGCGCCTGCCTGGCAAGCGCAAGGTCGTGAGTTCGGTTCCCGGAACCAGAGAAAAACCAAAAAAAAAAAAAAAAGAACTAAAGGAAAGGTTTAGGAATCAAGTAGCTAGCATAGATGAGGAAATAGAAAGAAATGAGATCAGTTGGTCCCTTAATTGAATTCAGGATTCTTGTTGCTGATTCTGAGAATAATGGCCATGTTCTGGGTCCTTAAGTAGTAAGACAAATTCCTGAAAATTTGGGTTCTGAATTGATTTTAATCATGAAGCACGGAGTTGCACCAAGACCCCTGTGCTCGGTACCATACCTTTTCCCTTCCCTTTGTGGTTCCTGCCTGGCCCTCTAACACAGACTTGCCTCTAACTCCACTTTCATGCAGTCCCCCTTATATACACTGTGGTATATAACTCCATTTGTTCCTTGCCTTCCTCCAGAGTGCTGTCTTATTTGGTATTGTGAGATTGTAGCACCTACACTGCCACCAGTACGTCTTCACCATACAAAGAATTTTACCATTCCAACATTTCCGAAAATCAGTGGAACCAATGATAGTACATTTGTCCAAGGATGGGTGGAAGCGCATCATGAGTTTGCCTCTTAGTCCGCTCAGCAGCACAGGCTAAACCAGGAACCCTTCTCTTCTTCTTCCTTTATCAGGCCATCAGACATGAGTGTTGGTTGCTACGGTGATGGGGCTCAGAGCAGAACCAAAGCATGATTGTGACCTCCAGAGGTGATGGTAACTGAACACATGGTTTCCAAGGGTCTTCCTCCTAAATTTCCAGGGGCCTCTCAAGGAAAACGGGCATATTCTTTTGGAAACAAAATTCTTCTGCCAACAGACATATCCTGAGGATCCTACAATGGCTTTCTCATCCTTGCAAATAGATTTTCTGAATAACTAAAAAGCAAGAATCGCCATGAGTCCTTGACTTTGTCACTCAGCCCAAATGCACACACCAATGCTAACCCCTCCCCGTATCACTTGGCTGAGTTAGCCTAGGCATCTCTCTTCAGCAAGGATGGTCTGAGCCTAGCAAACAGGCTCTAATGCCTAAGGAGTGCAAGCAAAAAGAGAAAGACAAGAAGCCTCAGAGCTTAGTAAATATTTTTTGTTCTGACTTAGCTATCTGTGGCTAGACTTTCCTTGATTTCTCCTAGGCCCTGTTTGGTACCATGATCTTGTTCCAATGACTACTCTACCATAATGTGACTTGGCATTGAAAAAAAGCATGGCTTGCAACTTTTACATCAGTTTGTTAGGACACAAATGTAGCCTGGAAGGAGATCTGATGCCCACAGCTGGCTGTGTGTGCCAGCTGACCATCTTCTTGTTATTTATCATTTATAATTATGAAATCATCGCTTATAATTGTTCTTGACAGATATTGACTTTAGGATATTACAGAGACATACTTGTCCTTGGGGATTATCAGTAGAAAAACTATGTAGATAATGATATTGAAATCCTTAAGACACGGGTCAATATTTCCAATTATCTTCACAGTTAGCTTTCAGATGTTTACACTGTTTTCAAAAGATAGACTTTGGATCTGGCTTTTATAGATTCTACACATGAGAAACTGGCAGTCTTTTTTTAATGTTGCAAACCAACTGTAAGTAAAATTTAAAATACATTTTTTTCAAACGATATTTACATTGTCCTGCAATTTGAAAGATAAAAGACCCAGAAAAGTCATTCTCTTTCCTTCTGTTACTCTAGGTAAACCACCCCTTAAACAGATAAGAATCTATTTTTCTCTTGATAACCCAGGCTAGGTTCTGACATTTTATGACTGGTAACTTAATGCATTTCCAAGAAATTAATTGCTTTAGTTGCTTTTTTTGTTTTGTTTTTTTTAAGACAGTGTCTCGGTATGTAGTTCAGACTGGCCTTGAACTCACTATATAGCCCAGGCTGGCCTCTAACTCACAGCAATCCTCCTGTCTCAGCCTCTCGAGTGCTGGGACTACTGGTGTGAGCCACCATGCCTGGCTCTTTTTAGTGGTTTTGAGCACCTTATTTTAGAACCCAAATACAAGAACTAAACCAATCACATGTGTTCCCAAAATAAGTGACTTGACTTCTTTATTTTCATCCTTTCCCTTACCACCTTTTTAGGTTTACATATGAAATTGCACCAGTGTTTGTCCTCATGGAGCAAATAACACTTAAGAAGATGAGAGAGATAGTTGGATGGTCAAGTAAAGATGGTGATGGGATATTTTCTCCTGGTAGGTTTCTCTTGTCTTCCTCTGACTGTCCTCCAGATTTATAGTGTGGATCCTCGGGATTCTTGGGACATTCAATAAAACACAAGCTTGTGGAAGCATAATGACCTTTAAAAGATTTTTTTGACACTCTGCCTGCCTGTCATTGTCAGAATGAAGGCTAGCAAAAATCCCACATTCTCTATGAAGTAATCCACAAAGTCTATGGCTAAATCTGTACAAACTCATAAAAGCTGAGTCCAGGTCATGAGAAAGACACAATATCAGTGTGATGTGCTGGGTTTCAGTGGATCGAGTTTAACAATGAATTGATTGACTTCAGCCTAAAGAGTACCTATCTACTTTGAATCTGTAGCTCAAAGGAGATACAGTAAGAATCTGTACAACAAGCACAGGTATCCTTGGAGGTAGGGAGAAGCTGCAGATGGTGTCAGAGTCAGTGTGACTGGGGAGAGAAGAAGCAATACAATTGTTCAGGCTGTTCAAGCAAACCATGCATTTGCCTGTATCGTTCTCAGGTAATTGATACATAAGTGGCTATTTTATGTGGCTAGACATACCTAATTATCTCAGTTCTTCTGTCTTTATTTCCGTAAACATGCATTTGTTTTTATTTAGAGAAACTTAGAGCTCTCCTCAATGACTCAATAACTCAGTCGGCCTGTTCTTTGAAGAGAGCACCCAGGCTGATAGCCAAGCAATGTCACTGTGTTCCTTTTATAGGTTCCATTACTTTCTCTTTCTCTGTCATTTTGAACTGAGGGAACAGATTCGTCTTTGTTCAGTAAATAGACTGAACAGAAAGTGGAAGCTGGAAGGTTGTAACTCACCCATCTCTTTGAAGCCACTGCCTCCTCCTCCTCTTATATTTTCGTCTGGCCTGCTAGTGGGAGGGGCACTGGGGTAGTGACCTCTAGTCAAGTTACCTACATACATAGCTTTGGGAGTGAGTGTGACCACCTGTATTCCCAGAGCAAAGGGTCCAGAGGCAAGCCCTGGCCATAGGGAAGCCAGCCAAACCAGTCTGGGTATTATCTTTCTTGACCTGCTTCATCTTGAGACTGCAGCTCAGCCTTTTTATTAGAAGCAATAATGAAGGAGCCCCAACCCCTCCAACTCTGTCTGCTTGGTGATAGGGGGAGCCATATCCAACATGTACAGCATCATGGCTGCTCGCTACAAGTACTTCCCGGAAGTTAAGACAAAGGGCATGGCGGCCGTGCCCAAACTGGTCCTCTTCACCTCAGAACACGTGAGTCGGGGGCTCTTGCTCAGGGGTTGTGGTGGTTTCCGAGGGACTACCTAACTGTTAACCTCAAGGGTCTGTTTGTTGCAGAGTCACTATTCCATAAAGAAAGCTGGGGCTGCACTGGGCTTTGGAACTGACAATGTGATTCTGATAAAGTGCAATGAAAGGTAGGCAGGGGAGAGTGACTATTAGGTTCTTGATGTATTAAATGTGTTCATCTGTTAAATTTGTTTTATTGTGCTTAAGGACTGGCTCAGTGCAGTGTGCCAAGCTGCTAATGGTCTGTTGAAAATATCCGATTAAATTACTTTTGCTGCGGCTGAAGTTTTTTCTCATGTGCAATCTCATTGATTCTTCATTTTAATTTCTCTCATTTTACAATAATTACAGGGGGAAGATAATCCCAGCTGATTTAGAGGCAAAAATTCTTGAAGCCAAGCAAAAAGTATGTACAATACAGTGCATCTAAACTCCAGTGATTATGAATTGTTAAAAATACCTTCTTTCTGGCCTAGATAATAAAAATCTTTGCTAATGTGAGATAATTTTATTGCTTCTAAAATTCTATTCTCAGGTATTTGATTGTTTCTAACTATGAAATGATTTGACCTCAAAGCTGTGTCTATAAAACATCTATTTTTGTTTTGGATAAATGAAAAACTTAGTCGTTAAGCCACTTGTCTTCTTCATGGCAAATGATCAGTTGCTATTCCTCAATAAATCAATAGGCATCTTGAATATATTTGATCTTCTTGCTTGTTCCTTATTAGACATATCCTTATTTTAATAAATGCTATTTTGGCCAGGTGTAGTAACACATGCCTATAATTCCAGCACTCGGGAGGCTGAGGCAGGAGGATCACCTAGAGTTCAAGGCCTGGCCTACACAACGAGACTCTGTCTCTAAATAAATAAATAAATAAATGCCATTTTACCTTAGTACTCTGTTTAGCAAAGCTCTTCCATGCCCTAGCAGATGACCCATGGTACTTAGCTAATCCAGCCTCAACAAACTTAATTAAACACAAAAATTTCACAGAACATATGTATCCCCAAATCACTACCAGGTAGCTGTCAGGCCATTTGCCAACACATTGTTGTTATGGTTTCCTTCTTGTACTTCCTTCTCTAATTTAGCTGTTTTACCGTGTATTAGTGTTTTGCCTTTCACAGTGTATAGACCTGTTTTAAAAAACCAGCAAGGCTTCCATTGAACTATTACACCAATACACACAGCACAGCACAGACCTACAAAGACCAATGGTAGGTGCTATTCAGAAGTGAAGTATTTGTAGTAATATCTTCTCTTTATTCCAAACACTTACTATTACTTTTTTATTTTTTGCCATAGAACTCATCCCTGTCAAACACACTGTATCTTTTGTTTATTTAATTCTATTACCTGTCACCCTGCCCCCTGCTAGAACATAAATTCCACAGTGCCAGAATCCTTCATCTGCCAGGCTCACTCCTGTATCTATAGCACCTACAACTGAGCCTGGTATAGGAAAGCCACTAAAAATAATCTGTTGAATAAATGAATGAGTGAGTAAATGAGCCAAGAAAAAAATACTACCAGACATCGTACCTGATACTGCACCAGCTGGGTGGGTCACTATTTAAAATAAATGCCGTTGCAATTCTTCTACTTCGTGTAAATGAGAAAGTCTGAAAGCACTAACCAGCTCTCTCTCTCTCATCTTGTAGGGATTTGTCCCTCTTTATGTCAATGCAACTGCTGGCACGACTGTTTACGGAGCTTTTGATCCAATACAGGAGATCGCAGATATTTGTGAGAAATATAACCTTTGGCTGCATGTCGATGTAAGTGATATAATTCACAGAGCAGCCCAGTCCACTGGGGGAGGGAGGTAGAAATGGCTCTGCGTTATGATTTGCCTCAAGCTGCTCCCAACACCCCAGCTGGCCCGTTCTGTACACTATATTAGTTCTGGCTCTTCCCCGGCCTCCAGCCAGCCACTCATGACTGGTACCTACTGTAGGCCTGTTCGCCCTCTGGGATGCATCCAGCTCCTTGCTGGCCAATCTCTGTCTTCTGTGGTTCCCCCTAGAGCACGGTTTCCGCTGGCTTCCCAGTTTGCTTTGTTTGGACTAATGGCTACAAAGTAAAATGTAGCTCATTTCAGGGGGAAAAAAAAATGTAAGATAGAGTATATAGAAAAGTGGCCATGAATGTGAACATTTAGCTACCCGCCTGCTGCCCAGGCATCTATGATACATTTCCGAAAAGAATGCCTATCTGCTACATGCAGGAAAAATCAGGAAGCATATGGAAGGCATTTTCAGCTAAGAAATACAATGCTAAACTTTTCCAGCAATCCAAATGGTGCATGTCGATTTGTGTGACTAGGTGTATATTTTTCCTTCTCTCTGTCCACTCTCTTGGGGATTTAACTTCTCATAATGGACACTGGTGAGATCTGTCCTGTTGCTGAACAAATGACTGAGAATGGTGTGTCATACAACATGCCAAGCTATTCACTAGACATGCATCATGGTCCCACACATGATGCTACTGCTGGAGCTTTTGGGACCTGCCGGGAACTGCTGCTTTCTGAGTTTCCTGGGTGCTGTTAGAATTCTACTGTAGGAAGAGGCAGATAGTGTGCCAGCCTATGTGTTGCTTCCAGAATCTCCATGGCTCCCTGGAGGGCTCAGGGTGGCCCTACTTCCCCATAGTACTCTGGGCCTTCGTATCTTGCCCCTCAGAGTACCATTCTGACGTTATACCGGAGGAACTTTTGGCAAAGAAATGACAATGGCGGATAATCACAACGCCCTGAGCTAGCTGGACAATCAGCACAGTTTCCTGTTGTCAGAGAAGCTTGTTTTTCACCTTTTCCCTTCTCCCTCATGTTTTACTAGAGGTGTGGAATGACTGACTGGGTTTAGATTCTTCAGTGTCGCTGCTCCTCTCCCTCTCCTTTCTCTGTCCTCACAGGCTGCCTGGGGCGGTGGGCTGCTCATGTCCAGGAAGCACCGCCATAAACTCAGCGGCATAGAAAGGTACGGGCGAGCTCGCTAGGCCTCCCTGCATCCAGAGCATTCCACACACTGTGCTCTAATGTCAGCCTACACCTCCCCCAGCCCTGGTTCCCAACATCTTATATCAGTCTGACTAAGTGCATGTTAGTTCAGCAGGCATTTACTGAGCACTTATTTTATGACTGATTTCCCAATCCAAGAAGGCCTCAGTGAGTTCACAGTTTAGAAAGACACAGAAGCTAGTACTTACCACACTATGGGCATTAACAGTAGGTGAAATTGCAAGTGTCTTGGTTGGAGAAAAGAGAGACTGATCTGCGTGGGGAACTGGAGGCTGAATCATAATTTGCGTGGGTACAGGAAAGCCCACTGATTCTTTTTGTTTTTCTTTCTCAGTAAGCTCGATGAGCTCTGGGAAAGCAGCAAGACACTCAGCTCCCCCTTATCTCAGCAGATACTGGGATACAGGCAAGAAGCCAGGACTTGGGAAAGGATATACCAGGCAGCAGGAATAGCATGTGCAAAGGTCCTGAGATGAGAACACTTGTAGCAAGCTGGAGGACCATCAAAGACACTAGAAGGGCTAAGCAATGTGGGAGGGGTAGGAGCAGACTAAGATTGGAGAAATTGATGGGGAGCAGGAACCACAAAAGCCCACCAGTGACATCTCTCACAGTAGGGTCTCTGGATTTTATTGCTGCTGCCATGCCTCCTCCCTTCTGTGTCAATTTTGGAAGGCCAGGGTCAGGGTGAAAGAGACTGATTCTTTGAAGCATAATTATATGACCCTATAACTTGGAGGATAATACAGTAAGTGTAGATGAAGATAATACAGTAACTATAGATTTCTCTGGCAGTGTTCATTTTTCATCCTTGAATCTAGGAAAACTTAAAACTTTCTGCATGCTAGACTTTCTTTTTTAACATTTTAAAGCATATGTGTCTTCTAAACTGAGTCTATATCATGTCTTTCCCTTTCTATTTGTAACAGCACAGAATCATTATTTCAGACCTTTTAGACATTAAGATAGTCTGTGAGATCTAGATATATTTGTAATGGCTTCATAGAATGATAGCAATGGGAAAATTGATTGAATTCACTACCTTCCAACTATGGCTTGACACACATGCTTTCTCATGAGATCAGCACTTTTTCATGAAATCAGTTAACTCTTTGGGACATTTCACAGGTCTCATCATCAGGTTTTCCTGCTTACATACTTAGGGGAAAATACTTCAGACCTTTCTCCTTTGTCCTTGAATTGCAGTACACATATGTACTAACTGAGTTCCCCTCTAAAGGACCTAAATCAGACAAAGACGTTAAAAATTCTCAATTTTTAACGCTAGGAGAGTGGAGGCAGTATAATTCGGAGGCATTTGCGATGTCAGGGGAAACACTCTTCACAGGTATTGAAACACAGAGTCCAGCTGTGGGCCATCAGGAAGGTCTCTGTAACCCACTGAAGTAAGTTACCGAAGTTGCAATCATCAGACATTATACTCAGTTGTTTCTGTGATGTCCTAGTGTGCTCCTTAACCATCTAATTGTGTCTGACAGAGTGATGTGGTTGCTTGGAGACCATGCTGGTTAAGCTAGCATTGCATCCCAAACTGGCAAAACCATGCTTGTTTAGCATTTAAACAACATTGCTAAGTAGTTAAAGTCTAAAATATTCCAGTGGATTCTTGCTGTCAGGTGTCATTCTTTGTTCTACCCATAAGTACCTAGGTGTACCTCATCAGCCCATTTTATAAATAAGAATAGAAAGAAAGAAATCCAAAGTCTGCTCTGCAATCAGACTCCCTAGACTGGTAGTGTGACTTTATATATTTAACATATTTGTACGTCAGCTTGTTTGCCTACATAGAGTCGTAGTATCTATATCAGGGGATTGTGGGGAATTATATATTGTGAGAATTATGTATTCCAGACAGTACTATAAGCATTTTGTATTTATTAACTCATTTTCATCCTTCAATTCTGTGAGACAGGCATCCCATTTTACAGATGGAAACCCTGAGGCACAGAAAAGTTGTAAGATGGCCCACCTAGCAAATGTCAGAGCGAAAATTCAGACTTGGATAGCCTGGCTCCAAAGCCTGAGTTGTTAACCACAGCACCATAGTGATACCTACCTAAAGCTCTTAGAACAACAGGACACATGATGAGCTCTTTAAAAACAGCAGCAATCATTGATAGCAGTTACACAGAAGATGCCATCTGCAGTGTAATGCTCCAGGACTGCCTGCAAAAAATGTTTCCTACTTGATTAGTCAGTTTAGGAGAAGAGCACAGAAACCATTTGTGACTTGAGTGGAGATGGGTGACGTCTGCTTTGACAGCACAGTTGCCTCTCTCACTCCAGCACTTTGTCCTCAGAGCATCATGTGCTTCTTTCAGAGCCAACTCAGTCACCTGGAACCCGCACAAGATGATGGGCGTGCTGCTCCAGTGCTCGGCGATTCTCGTCAAGGAAAAGGTCTGTACCCCCTCCAATGGGCAGACGGCCTGCCCGGAGGCTTTTCACAGCCTTGCCTGTGGCAGCCCCGCCTGACATGGTCATGCTGTCCTTCCCGGTCCTCATAACTGACCCTCATTGCCCTCTTGGCTGTGGCTGTCACCTCCTTCTTCATACAGTGCTCAGAGCCCGGAAAGTGACAGAATCACTGTTTAATTGCTTATTCCTTTGTGTACACAAACATGTGAAGGATTAGGGGAGACACCCAATCGATTTTGTCCTCATTGAGAACAAAGTGCTCACTGGAATGTACTTTGAATTCTTGGTGTGAATCCATGGTTGCAGGAGCTGAAATAAATTAGACAAAATAAGAACTACAAATACCTGCTGAGGACAATGGGGAACGTGGATGGAAAGCTCCTGTACATGAGTGACAGCCGTATTCCCTTCTTTGTGCACCTAGCAGTGGGATCCTGCTCTTCGGTGCATTGTTGCTTCATAAGCTGCAGCACGCTGAGCACCCCCATGTCTGCCCCCAGCCCATAGGAGCAGGAACCCACTCGGGCTCTTTCTTTCACTTGTATGTAGAGCCTCCCTTAACTTCATCAGCGACCTTGCAAAGGTTGGAAGACTGGTGGGGGCTGGGGGAGGCTTTTGGATGAGCAAATTCTCCACAGCATGAGAAAATCCCGCCCAGTTAGGAGGTTTATATTCCAAACCCCTACCCACTCAGTGCCATAGTGCTTCCCAGCCAACGCCCACACTTTTCCAAATGTCCTTGGAGGGAGAGGGGGCCCTTGTTGTAGGCATCCTAGGCAGAGTGACAGAGAATAAAGGGGAAAAGTTTTTTTCCAAGGGCGATTTTAGAGAAGAGCATCAGGACAAAACTGAGGACTCTGAAAGCCACCAGAAGAAAGGCCGCATGTGACCCCAGACCCTCTTTCTAGCTGTGTCTCTGATCCCTGAATACAGATGTCCACATCTTGATTCCCACATAGGGGATACTCCAAGGATGCAACCAGATGTGTGCCGGGTACCTCTTCCAGCCAGACAAGCAGTATGATGTCTCCTACGATACTGGCGACAAGGCAATTCAGTGTGGCCGCCATGTGGACATCTTCAAGTTCTGGCTGATGTGGAAAGCAAAGGTATGAAAGGGGAAATCCGAGAAATAGAGCAGGAGTATAGTATGCAGACTGGCTGGTGAAAGAGAGGCTGTGTCACAGATGATGTAATTATGAGTCTAATCAGTATCTAGATAATTGAGCTCACTCTATTTGCTTTGTGAATGAAATAACTATCTTATGTCACAGTCTCCTTCAGTTCAGTCTCCTCGGTTTGAATTATTGTGAAACTCTCTTACGACTTTCTCCTGTAACAACTAAAAATTATGCCAGTGAAGGAATTTCTACAGCAATCTTTAGGGGTGCTAAAATTATTTGGTGTAGATATAAAGAAAGAGATAAAAGATAAACACTACTGCATCACTCTGCAGAATCCCGAATTACTTTATGAGGCTTCTCATCATGGAATATATATGACAATTTTAAGTTCTATTTAAATGGTGGCTTCCCCATTATTTGTACTTTATACAGTATTCTGGAAATTGCATTTAAAGAAATTTTCTTTGGTGGTGCAGGGGACTGGAAACTGTGTACTTTAAGAAATCCTATTGCCAGACTGAAGCATGCTATGTTGGCAGTCATTAACCTCTTCAGTTATAGTTCTGTATATAGGAAAAAAAAAAAACTATTGGAATTTCTCCCAAAATATAAATAAGGGAGAAGATCACCACTCGGCTGTTTCAAAAGTTTTTATACACTCAAGTAAAGACTTTTTTTTATTTTTATTTTACAGCTTTACATCACATCGCTTTTATTTACCTACTAGAGACTCATTTCAATAATTTCTGTGTTTAAGAATGGGACCACCTAATACCAAAACAACCAGGTTTTTCAGCAAAATGTCTAGTGAAGCATTTCTTCTGTATGAAATCTTTGGCAGGTCATTAGTTTTTTCCTCATTAAGTCATTTGTCTTAATATAGAAAGAGTCAGAGTTTGATTTCTTTCACAGAGTAATCACAGATCTTTCAAGCGTATAAGCAATAAGAGGAGGCACCTATAATTTGGAAATACTGTAATGACCACATGGCCTGTCACAGTAATCTGTGTTTTCATTTTGCCTAACAGTAGCCTCTTGAACTGTCTTCAGGGGATTTGGCCCAGAGTGCACTGGCTGCAGAGCTGGGATCCTGGCACAGGCTTTGTCCCCAGTGGACACTCAGCAGGGATGCCACTTGGGGAGGCTCACGCTTTCCCAGTGTTGGACTCTGCCCAGGCCCATTAGCCATCCACAAGCCAGCCTTGTGCATCTGCTCTCCTTGTTAACACCAACCCACTCAACAACCCTCATGATGTTGTTAGTAATCAGCCAACCTGGCTTTTGAAACTCACGCTCAAGTAGTCTGTCAATAGTTGGAGCTAGTACAATCTCAGGGGATATGAGACCAGTGGCTTCCCCATCTGCCTGCTTGCCTGTCACAGGAAAGGAATAATACTGGGTTATGTGGAAGGTAGCCTGCCTCTGAGCTTGTGTGGCGTGCTTGGCCGGGACTTACTGCTGGAAAAAATAGGTTCAAAGGCAGTCTTTCGAAGTTTCTGTAATAAAGAAACAATTGCTTGTTCTCCCAACCTATGTGGACCAATATAATAAAAATGAATTGCTAGAAAAATGAAAGCTGAAACTTACAAAGTACAAGCTGCTTTTTAAAAATTAGAGTCAATAGACCTAAAATTACTCTGTCAAATTGCTTTAAAAGTTTCTTAATGCCTAATCTCAATTTCTATCCTCATGTCATCCCAAATCAGTTGTAGTTTGTGGACTGGCCTCTGTCCAGATGTGATACTGTGAGTAGCACTATCCTAAAGCAAGCCAGAAATGGGCTTTGAGTCCAGGCTGTGCATAACAAGCAGAAAGCTAAAAGCTCTATCGAGAGCAATTGTCCAGAGAATGGAGCACCCTCAAAAGAGAAGATAGGACGCTTCATTTTATTGCTGTAGAGCTAAGAAGGTGCACATATTCAAGTACATGGTTCTTCTTATCTCCATGAACAGTCTTTCCTACATTCTCCTAGACATAGGACAGCATAGCCTTCCCAAAGGCCCATCGCAGGGAAACACACCTGACTGTCACCTTTTCTCTTTCAAACAGGGCACCGTGGGATTTGAAAATCAGATTAACAAATGCCTAGAACTGGCTGAGTACCTCTATGCCAAGATTAAAAACAGAGAAGAATTTGAGATGGTTTTTGATGGTGAGGTAGGTTGTCACCATGGGCCAGATACATAGCACTTCCAGAAAAACTATGAGAGGATCTCTTGAAGCCACGTTTTCCACACTGTCATAAGCTCCTTCTGGATTTTTATTTTTACATACTCTTCATTTAATGCTTGCCATGTTTGTGAACTCTCCTCCGAGAGATTGGGATGACTTTTCCCTTCAGCTCTTCTAAAATCATGCAGCTCCGAGCTAGCCCTTTGCAGACTAGAGGTCTTGCCATGGCAGATCCAAATCCTTCATCATTCTTGGGTTTGTCTTGAGTTGACCTCCATGATAAAATGATTCTCAGTTCCAAGAAGCCTAAAGGATGGTTACGTTCTTACCTCCCAAGACTGGCTTTAAAATGAGGTTCTGCTCTATAGAGATTATGAGAAAAGCCGAATAACATGGTCTCTGACCTGAATTCACACCCCAATTGCACAGTAAAGTATTTGTCACAACGGTGTTTACTGTCTGCCATGCGCCAGACTCCGTGCCAGGGGCTGGCTTATGTAGTATTGCCCAAAACACATACTATCTCTGCCCTGATGGTGCTCCCAGTTGAATAAAGACAGATGGAATCAGAGTCAGTGCCAATAAAAGAAAATCCGCTCATAATTCAGTGTAATGTAACCACTTAAAATCCAGTATAAGGTAACAGCATCTACATTTGGCATTTGTCTCTCAGGCAGCCTAAACTATTAGGAAAACACCCAGGAGTCACCACATGAGTGCACAAAAGCTCTGAGCATTAACGTCACTGGTCTGCTGTTCATCCATCTCACCTATGGGACTTTACTCTGATTCTTCACACTATCTTAAACATTCTACCAGCAGATGAAAAAAAATTCAACTTCTAACAAGGCAGTTAGAGGCAGGCACAGTGCTGGCAAACAGCAACTAGGCAGGAAATTGAAAAACCACATCAACAATGCAATAATTCAGTGTCAATAAAATTATCTTGGGAATTTTCTATATGTGCGCCACTACAAAGGGCAAGATAAATAATGCCTTTTTTCCAATTATCTAAATATAATTTTTAACATTTCAGTGTTTAAAGGTGGTGACTGTAGTTAACAAGAAAACTGCTTGTGGGAATTGCTATCTTGCCAGATATGATTGGATAACGCGGGCGTTTTTCTTCCTAGTGTACGTAGATACAACACTGCCTTCTAGGCATTCGGGGCTCTTTTTCAGTCTGAGAAACTTCCCCGAAGGGCGCATGCTGACGGGTTTTGGAAGTCTTATCTTAAGTTACCATAACTTGGTTTGTGGGTTTCTTTGCTAAAATCTCTGCAGCCTGAGCACACAAACGTCTGTTTCTGGTATATTCCACAAAGCCTCCGAGGTGTTCCAGACAGCCTTGAGCGACGGGAAAAACTGCACAGGGTATGGGTTTGCTTTTGTCTCACGCAGTGAGGGAGAAATAAAAAATAATGTCTTAAGGTGCCAGTAATGGTATGTGGGGGAGCCACCTTGAATTACATTTTTCTTGGGGGTGTGTTGTTCCCTTGCAATTGGTCAGACCTCTTTATTATGGGGGCTCCATGCAAAGCAAGTGAATGATGTACATGTTCCTGGGAGCATTTTACATTAAACTGTATCTGCTATAATATGTTTTTATTAAGTTCAAGTCTACTCTATTGCTGATGCATTTGAACTGATTTCTATATCTAGTTTATATAATATTTAGGGTTGTTGATATTGTGTTTAATTTATGTAACATTTCATTCATCCAACCGTTGAACAAATGAAGACAGCTAGATATAGTTTTGGCTTTTGGGGGGTGGCTTGCATGTTGGTATAAGCACAAATAGTAAAAAGCAAGTTGAGTTGAACTGTTAAAAAGGGTGTGTGTGTTAATATCCACTTTGAGTTTTGTTTTGCATTACCAGGTGGCCCCAAAGATCAAAGCCCTCATGATGGAGTCAGGCACAACCATGGTTGGCTACCAGCCTCAGGGGGACAAGGCCAACTTCTTCCGGATGGTCATCTCAAACCCTGCTGCCACCCAGTCTGACATCGACTTCCTCATTGAAGAGATAGAAAGACTGGGCCAGGATCTGTAGTTGCTCTTTGCCAAACAGGAGTTTATAGGAATGCCCTTTCCCCTTGGCACTCTAGAACAAACCTAAGTTACTGAAACACATAGGCCACTTCATTGAAGGAAAATATAATACCCTGAAGAATACTTGTTTCAACCTTATTAAGCTTGTTTGTTAGCAGGAAATACTGTTCTTTTTAAAAAGTTGCACATTAGGGACACAGTATATATGTACAGTTATATATACCTCTCTCTATATATATATATGTATAGTGAGTGTGGCTTAGTACTAGATCTCAGCATGTCTCCCGCCCCAAGAGAATTCACTTTACTTTCAGCAGTCACTGAGGGGCTAAACATGCTGCAAACCAGCTCACCCAACAACCACAAGGAAGATGGTCTCCAGAATGCTGTGTCCTAGGCACCAAAGGTGACACTGTCGGTGGGAGTTGACCTCTTTGCCAGTGTTTCTCCCACCTGAAGCATGATAGATGTGAAAAAGCACTACTAGGTGACGACAGCCATGCCCTCCCTATTGGTCCCCTGTTAGGGGAAAACAATAACAGAGTCATTCTTACTGGTGTACCATTATTGTACTTTCAGAGATTACTTTGTGTAGATGGTGTACATTACTGTTGTCTGACCTGGATAGGGGGAGATGTGTAATGATTTCAAGACTGTTTAACTGTAGGTCAATGAAATATTTGCTGATTTATATTCAGAGATTTACCACATTAAAAAGAGGCATCTTGTATTTTCTTCTCATTTGTAATGTATCTTATTTATATATTAATGAAATAAGTTCTGAATACTGTTTATGGTATTTTCGTGCATTTGTGAGCCAAAGAGAAAAGATTAAAATTAGTGAGACATATTTATATTAGAGTGCCCTTAAAATAATGATTTAAGCATAAGTGTACTGTCTAACGCTGTACATTGAGTCGTGTATATGGAAATTCTCTTACTTCGGTAGCATCTGCTCTTCTCTTACCCTGTCTGGCTGTGTGTCTGGTGTTCTCAATGCTTTTCTAGTAACTGTTGGATAATAACTAGATCTCCTGTAATTTTGTAGTTGTTCATGACCAATCTCTGTGACTCGCTTAGCTGAAACCTAAGGCAATGTTTCTGAAGATCTCTGATAAATCGACTAGTCTCACAACTGTTTTTCAAGGAAACGAAATCCACACTGTGCGTTTTAGAGTATGCAAGAAAAATATAAATAAATATATTCTCCATGGAGAATTTGAACAAAATGTTCTTCTAGTCTGTGCTTCTTATAGAAATTTCCAGTTGTGGTTAGTCGGGTCACCCACAGCCAATTCATTGTCCACGAACTGACATTCAATGATGTATCTTTAGTGAAGTGACACCTAACCCACTGTCATAGGCCCCTGAGCCCCTTGCCTATAAAATCCTTAAATAAAATTGGTTGAATAAAATTGACTATTCATGCCTTGAGGAAGAAGAGACCATCCTTCTTCCCATTTTCCTGTTTTCATCTTAGAGCTTCACCCATTCACTCGGGTATTTTCTTCCTCTGTATCAGGCACTGAGGTTACAGTAGTACACACAGTAGACAAATAGTCCTTCTAGTGAGGATCTCATATCATTTGGCATCATGGTATTTGAATGCCTGTAAGATCACAGATCTGTTATGCCTTCTTCCTGTATATCTTATCCAGTGGTCTCAATTCATTTCCTTCAGAAATATATGTTTAGTGCTGGCTCATTAGGAAATAGGGCTCAGTTTCTATGCTATCCTATTAAGGTATAATGAATACCATCTATCTCATTCATTTGCCATATGAGTTTGCTATTAGCACATGTAAGGATTAGCGCAGAGTCCTTCCTAATGCTGATTTCATGTTTAACTATAGAACTCAACAAACTGGATTCCATAAAGAGTGACCATGAAGCCACTGTATTCTTTCTCTTCAAATCCATCCTAGATGCTGATTTTTTTCCCCCATGCCCTTATTTGAATTCAGGACAATCTTACAGGTTTTCTGGACTCTCAGGCACAAGAGTGTCATTTTAACAATTGAAGGCCAAGCTCAGTGTAATAAGCAAGGCTTGCAATGGTTAGACAGTAGGGCACTCCTCTCCTCCCTGGTCTGTTGGGGTAGGCTAGAGTGATAGGGAGCGGCTCATAGTTGTCTGGGATCACTTCCTTCTTCCACTCTTCCAGCTCCTCTCTCTAGCAACTGTATTTGCTCATGTGGGGTCAGGCCCAGAAAGTGTTAAAGTAACAAAGGCACAGTTTTATACAGCTGTTAAATTGCCATTTGGCATCTGGGCCCTTAGCATAGGAGATTGTTTTTAAGCGGGACAATAATTTAGAAGGGATGAAGTTTTTTTTTTTTTTTTTAATTAAGGAAAATTCACTCTTTATGTGTGTGTTATGTAGTTTTCTGGAATTTTGGCAAACCCATTTAGTCATGTGACTGACTGCAACCATGGCCAAAACATAGAACAGTTCCATCACCTAAATAAATTCCCATAGGATCATTTGTACTCAATGTCTCCCCTTCCCCGATTCCTGGCAACTTCTGTTTTCTGCTCTTTGACTTTTACCTTCCTCGTCATCTAAATGGAATCATACATGGCCATTTGAGTCTGTTCTTTCATTAACATAATGCATGTGAAATTTATCTATGTCTTTATAACAGTGTTCATTTTCTCATTACTACATAGTATTCCATTTGTACAGCCATAGCACAGTTCTTTTTTTTTTTTTTTGTACTGGGAATCAAACTCAGGACCTTGCACTTGCCAGGCAGGCACTGTGCCACTGAGCTATGTCCCCAGCCCTATACCACAGTTCTTTTTCCCTTCCCTAATAAAGGGAAATTTGGGCTGTTTCTGATTTAGGCCACTTAAAGCTACTATAAATATTAATATGTGGATCTTTGTGTGAGCATAGGTTTCATTTAACTTACATAAATGCCAAGGTGTAGTATTCCTGGATTATATGGTAAGAGTATATTCAACATTATAAAACACTGCTAAACAATTTTCCATAGTGGTTGCACTACTTTTTGTCATTCTTATTAATAAAATTAAGTTGATCCATGTTCTTGGTAGCATTTGGTACTATCAACTTTTAAAAAACATTTAGCCACTCTGTAAGTGGTATCTTATGATTTTAACTTGCTTTTTCATGAAACACTTTGGGGGGATTCTCTTGAGGTCCGCCCACATCCTCACACAGTCAGCAATCTCACCTCTGTTACCCCTTAGAACACAAATCCTTTACCCTGAGACCTTGGCAGTCTGCTCTGTCCAGATCTTATGTTGGTATTGCTGCTTCTTCAGGCAGTGCTCTTGGATTATTTAAAATCAGTCTGGTGGATTAAAGAGGAATTTTTAAAATATATATAAGACAACGATGACCTGAGTCTGCATTACTCAGCCTGAGACATAGAGCACTCCAGTGCCTGAGAGCTCTCCAGCCCCATCAAGAATCTTCCCTTCCTAGTAGGATGCCGCCCCAGTGAGTGATCAGCATTCTGAATTTTGTTTTAATCACTCTTGTTTCTCTATACAGGTTCACCACATATTTAGGCAGCCGTATTGTTAAGTGTATTAGTTTTACGTGCTATATGTGGAGTAATGCAGAATCCATACACCCTTGTGACATCTTTCTCTTCAATGTCTTTCTAACCCACAGACTAATGATGGTGAACCTTTTAGAGACGAGTGCCCAAACTGCAGCACAAAACCCGCTTATTTATTGTCAAGTGCCAACTCACTTAGACACTGAGGTTTTTGTTTAGAAAAAGCAAGTCATACATTAACACCTTTTGTCTTAAAAGAAAAACAAATAACACACATGCCATAGGTCAATCACTACTACCATAGAGGAATTTTGTGCAGTTAAAAGAAAAAGGGGGAGGGGCTTCCCTTCAAGGGTGAGCATCCCTGTGCTGCTGGAGCTGGAGAAGATCTTAGGATAGAGCTGGACCTGATGGAGCTGGAGAAGAGCTGGAATCGATGCCGGTGCCTACTCAGCCTATTGGTACAACCTGCAAGCACAGACTTACATGGAAACCTCATGTTTTTGAGATTCACCCTATGGCTGCAATGTTATCACGTTTATTAATATACTTCAGTCAGCTTGTCCATCCTTTTGGGGAGTAAATGTATAGATTTTTTTTTCACTTCTTTGCCTTTGGGCACAATGTTGCTACAAGCACCCTTGTACTTGTTTCCTAATGCATGTGGACAAGATTTTCTATGGTTTAGAAGTGAAACAGCTGGGTCATAGTGTACTTGAGCTTTACTAGGTAAAGAGGAGCAGTCATACCAAGCATGGCACTTCTGCCAGCAGTGCATGTTATTCCAAAACTCACTGTCACTTGGTCAAAAATTTTTTGGAGTTTTGTGAGGAGGCAACTGTTGTCGATTTAATTTGTTTTTCCCTGACTACGGATGAAGTTGAATATCTTTTCATATTATTACAAATCACTTGTGCCCTATGAAATGCTTAAATCATGCTCTTTGTACAAATTTCAATCAAGTTGCTTGTCTTTTTCTTTTAATTTTTTAGGCACTCTTTATATACTCCAAATACTAATTCTTTTTGATTATACGTTTGGCAAATATCTTAATTTGGAGTTGCTTTTTTGCTCAGTCAATGGTCTTTTTAAAAACATAAGTTCTTAAACTTAACATAATAAAATTCACTAATATTTTACTGCATCTACTTTTTTGTGTATCTTCTTTAAAAAATTCTTCCCTACCCTAAAACCATAAAGATATTCTCATATATTATTTTGATGATTTATGCTTTTCATATTTAAGTCTTTAGTCTACCTCAAATTAATTTTGTTTGGCTCTTCTTTGTGAATGAAAAAGCTATTACTAGCCCTTTACTCTCACATATAAATTTTAAGATAAACTTATGAAGTTCCACAAAAAAAATGCTGTCGAGGGCTGGGGATTTAGCTCAGCCACACAGAGCCTGCCTGGCAAGCACAAGGTCATGAGTTCAATTCCTGGTACCGGAAAAAAAAAAATGCTGTTGAAATATTTATAGGAATTTCATTGAATCTGTGGACAAATTTAAAGAACATTAACATCTTTTTTGATATTGAATACAATAACAAAAGTGTAATATGTATCTCTATTTAACCAGGTCATATTTAATATATTTGAATAAACATTCATAATAGACATGCAAAGGTTTTGATAGATTTGTTTGTAGGTATCTTATGGTGTTGTTAATTTGCTTTTATTTTTATCAGTATATGTTTGCAGTACATTCATCATTGGGAGTTGGTATATGTACACTACATTTTTTTGCAGGGGGACCAGGAATCAAACTCAGGACCTTGTGCTTGCCAAGCAAGGTACTGTGCCACAGAGCTATATCCCTGCCCTTGTATATTACATCTTAAGTCTTTTTATGTCCCCCTCTCTTCCTTTCCCTCCATCTCTTGCCCTGATCCTCTTTTGCAAATGATCTTTCTTCCTGTTTCCTATTATCTTTTTTATTTTGCTCTTTAACTTACTTATACTTTGAGAAATCATGTGATATTTAAGCTTGTTTGTCTGATTTATTTTCCTTAAGATTGTGGTCTCAAAGTGCTTCCATTTTCCTACAAATGACTCAAATTTATCCTTCTTTAATAGCAAAGTAGTGTGTAAATACCACATTTTCTTTATCTGTTCATTTGTTGATGGACATACAGGTCACTTCCAAGATTTAGCTATTATGAGTCATGTTGCTATAAACATGGGTATGCATGTATCAGTGTAATATGATGTATTTGACTCTTTGGGGTAAATACCTAGAGAGGAAAGAGCTGGGTCAACTGGGATTTATATTTTTAACTCTTTGAAGAATCTCCTGATTCTGATTTCCATAGTGGTTTTACTAGTCTACAGTCCTACCAGCAATGTAGGCGGGTTCCTTTCTCCTCAAAGCCTCACCAGCACTTATTATTATTAGATTTCTTGATGGAATCTCAGAATTCTGAGATTGCACACCTCTAATGGTCAGAAATGTTAAATATTTTCTCCTGTATTTATTGGCCATTTGTACTTGGTTTTCTGAAAAGAGTCTGTTCATTTCAGTTGCCCATTTTTTGATTGGGTCTTTTATTTTGGAGGTCTAATTTTGGGAAATTCTTTGTATACTCTAGGTAGTAGTTCTCTGTCCAAGGTGTAGCTGGCAAAAAAGTGTTCCCATTCTGTATGTTCTTTCTTCATTCTGTTGGTTATTTTCTTTGTTATGTAGAAATTTAATTGA